AACTCGCAAAAAGTTTTCGATGTAAGTCCCGATCAAATTCGACAGACTTACGTTTACACCGTGTTTTTTCACTAATACGTGACGCTGATTTGCGCCTTCCCTAATTTTTCAGTGAGATGAGGATTACATATAGATGGCGTATTCAGCTCGACAGAATACTAATACAAAACAAGTTTATTACTCGTAAAGAAAAAATTCTGCTCGAATTCCGCTCTGAACAGCTTAACAGCGAAACTGGACATGGCAAATCTCCATTCATAATTATTCATGCGATCAATTATAACATATTTTCTTATTGAGACAATTAAAGGTGGTTTCGTTGAGATAGGGCTTGCTAGCGCTTTTGTTGAGGGTAAGAACTGTATGCTCTGTTTCTGTTTCTTTCAAAGTCGTAAGTGTGGTGTGTGGAACTTGGGAATGATGTTTTTTTTCTTCAAATAATTTTAACCAAACAATCAATCTTAATTTGATCGGTGTTATGCGCGGCAATTTTTGTGGCGCATCCTTCTCTAATTGTTTCCTTCTTGGCTGGTTAAGCATATCAGCAGAAAAGATAAACCATTCAGTGGACTCAGAGACAATAAACGCGAACGATTTTACCCAGAAATTGTGCTCTTTCGTTGATTAAAAACTTCTAACATAAAGGAATTAACCACAGATCCCCTACTAAAGTAAATTTTGAGCAGGACTTTTGGCTAAGAGAAACGTAATCAAGTGCAACTGAATTCTGTAAGTTGTGTAGTGGTCGCCCAAATCCATTCACGCCACTTGAAGCACTCATAATATTCATAGTGGCAAAGTTTGGATCATTTCAAACTGAAAAAACGCAGCTTTTAGTGACGCTGATTCTGGAACAATTCGTGAATTCATTTTGATGAGTTTCGTCACTTCACTAACGACTGCCAGTATTATTTCATGAACAATTCGATAAAGATATCCCTGCTGGTAACGAAACCAGCGAAATCAGCGGAAATTGTAATATATTTTTTTTTTCCATAAAGGCATGTTCAATTGAGCGAAGGCTCGTTAAACTGGAGGCTCAAGAGCAGAATCTATTGATTTCACAAATTGACAAAAGAAACGTTTAAGCGGGACATAGCACGATACGATCAATTATGAGTTTGACCTGGGGGAGATTCTAACCTCGTCGACCATTCTGGTTCGTATGGTTTTCAGGATAACATAGCTACTTTACAGACAAAAGGAGAAACTACGCTTGTTACATGAAATTACATGATTGTAAAATCATACTTCCAAATTTGAACATTTGCCTAAACTGTTCAGCTGTTCCTGCCTTGATTCGGTGCTGAAGCTTGTCTGTGAGCCATAAATCAATTGTTGAGCCTAGTGTAAGTATTTAGATACAAGAGTTGTGTAAATGGTAGATTTGTTAAGATAAATTGAAACTAGTACAAGAGCCCAACAACAGTACTGGTTTTCAAGCGCCTGCTTCATAGACAATCACAGTATCTTGACCTACTAAAACATTGTAGAGGCAAATTCAGCAGAAGTAGTTGATTAGGAATCTCGAAAGGTATCTTTATGATATTTTTTAGCACTCAAGTTATTTTGAACTGACTTACCATTACAACTTGTCAATGATTTATTCATTCATAATGTGTGAACACAAATACGAAAGATTGCACTTCAAAAAAAAAATCGCCAGAAGTTTAAAAACATTTTAGTAATATATGTTTAATTTTCTGTCATGATGTTGTAATATTTTTTTCCTTTTTAAAATCCAGACTAGAAGAAAGGGCAATGGTCTTTGAATAGGCTATTGCTATTGGGTTAAATTTTACTGGTGGTTTGAGTGTTTCTTTTTCACAAACATTGCGATGAGTTGGGGTCAGTTCAGTTACCCAAAAGTGAAACGTAAGACAATAAGAAAATTTACATACCTTGCAAGTTTCTTTGCTTATTTATCCCGTCAATTAGAATTCCTCTCTTTCGCAGCCACCTGCATCGAGCTATTATAATCACAAAAGAAAGTCATTACAGAATGCAGTTTAATTATCGGGCCTCGAAAATACAAATTATTTCCTCACTTCCACGCTGAATTGAATTTGGCTGCGTTAGGGTGGTGCCATACAAGTGTCTTTACAATTCAAAAATTTTCCAATACTCTATTTTTTGCCTCAGGTTATGCTGGAAGAAATTAAAAACGTCTGAATTTTAAAGTCTTCGCTGCAAAATGAGGATCGCAAGAAGCTTGATTGTAAGAGTATGCGTTTGTCTATTGGTAAGTTAACATTTTTGTTCTTTTCACTAAGGTAAAGTTAAGAGTGAGGGATACCTGTCATTTAACAGCCTTACAAAATGTATTTAAGGCACGACATTCACAAAATAAAACGATACTCTCGGCTCCTGCAAAAAACACTTCCAGTCATGATTTCTCTATACAAAATGCAACAAAATTTATGCCAAACGTCTACATCGCAGTGTTTGAAATTGTTCGACATTTTTCCTGGAAATACTTAGTTTATCTACAGATTTCTTTCAGTCCTAATTTACCTATAGATGTTTTGATAAATAACTGGAAATTTCAATATAACAGAACGTTCAAATAACGTTAGTTGCATTATTACGAAAATCATTGTTTGACTGCATGGATATGGAAGAAATTAATCAGTTGTGAAAAGTGTTTAAAATCATTCAGAAGCCAAAGAGTTTTCATCCAATGCGCTGAACTTTTTTATATCGTTTCTCAAAACGATTTTGAGTCCGCGTCTTCCATTACCTTAATCAGTCTTTGAAAGCTTCATGCATCATTTAATACATCCAGTTTTAAGTAAAAAGTTAACTAACTCTTGTGGCTGCCAAACCTCAACTATCTAGCCACAGAGTAAAATTATTGAGACAGAGCCTTGTCATTTACACGTCCTGTTTATTTTGTGCAGTTTTTCGTAATCTGTAATTTTGGAAACCGACCTTAAAAGATACATTAAAAATAATTTCCTCCGCAATAAATGCGAAGTTTTAAGGAAGCTTTTCGTTTCATTTTCTCTTAATAAAAATTGCATAACAAAGCAGCAGGCAAAAAATTCTATAGACAATGACGGATCATCGCAGCAAATTGATGTGGGTTTTGTGATGGGAATCTAAAAACTTGCATCGTAAATAGCCACAATTTCAAGCTTCATGTTTTACTTAATCCAAACGGTTCTGGGGATTTAAAAAACTCCTATTGCTCCTTTTCATCTACAATTCGCTTTATACAAACTTACGTAACAGAATTGCAGCTGCTGTGTTATTTACTGATGACAGAAGTTTCATTTTCTATTGACTATTCATCAAGAGATATTTGTGGTTACAAACTATAGTTCATGTAAAATATTCTAATGTATTCATCATATCTTCACGGGATAGTAATTTCTTCCATTTTTATTCTGTCTCCATTTCATTTTATTTGTTTTTTTTCCACAGGCAATGCAGTGGACAACGACCATTGAAGGTAAAACTTAATTGTTGGGCGATAAAAACTGCTTTTCGATCCAGTGATAAATAGATGGAATATGCAGGCGTAGTTAACTGTGACCAATATTGTAACTCTAATTTGGACGGTCTAAAGACTCTATAATGCAGAAAAGCAAATACTTATTCATGATAAAAAGCGCAGAAGAAAATAGGAAAAAAAATTTATAGAGCGCAAAATCAAGACTAAAAACGATGAATATACAATTCATTAATATAATCTTATAAAATTGTTTCCTCTCAGAATCGATATAACATTGATACAGAACTTAAACTTTTATTTATTACTACTTATACTATCAGAGTCTCGTTTCTCATGGCTCTATTAAGCCTTTTAAATAGGAAATATTTACACCTTCAATTGAAAAGACAATAAGAGAACTGGCTCCAAATTTTTCGAATTAAAAATTGAAGAGTCTATTGATTATAGAAGAAAATAAAGAATCTTAAGCGACTTGAAAATAATAATAATGTGCAAGTCATCTCTCCATAAATAATGAATTACAAACAGGCTGGTTTTTGAATTGTTCTAAGAAGAGCGAATAAATATCCTCAAGGAGACGTAATTTGTAAGTAAGCCGCGTGAATAATTTGCGCGCTCACGTTTTAATTTGACTTCTTCGTCAAGCACTTCAAAACGAGTTCGCAAGAACACCCAAGGAGAGCGCAGGGATGGAAACTTCGATGTAACGAATGAAAGTTTTTCTTAATGAGCGCTATTCATGTTGAAATTTGGCTTCATTTACCACTTTTCCGTTTGAAAATACCTGATAACTTTAACCCTGAGATTAGGACATTGTCTGTAGGTCGCTTTATTTCTGAGTAATGTTTCTTCATGAAAGAGAAGTCGTTATTCAAACAGCTGGGTAAAAAGAGCGACTGCAGACACCGTAATGGTCTTTTCTTTCTAGGCTTTTGGTGATAAATGCCTCAACTGTCTGGTCTTGTTAAATGTTCCGTAAAGGGTCTAACCGTTATTTCAGAGTAATATAAAGAGATTCGGTAAAGAGCCGGGTAATGCAGTGTTGAAGTTTCGTTTTCCCTTTAATCGTGCAAGCAATGGAGCTTTGTGCAGCGTTACAGTAAAGAGAGTTTTTAAGTGTGCATCATGATGGCAAAGTTTACTAAATAGAAATTAAATGCCGCGCAGCGCCTATTCTTTTTTGAACATATTGTTGTGAGGTGACCACTCTCATAAGTGAGGTGGCCTCTTTCATAAGTGACGTGACCTCTCTCATAAGTGAGGTGGTCTCTCTCATAAGTGACGTGACCTCTCTCATAAGTGAGGTGGCCTCTCTCATAAGTGAGGTGGCCTCTCCCATAAGTGAGATGACTTCTCTCATACGTTAGGTGGCCTCTCCCATAAGTGAGGTGACCTCTCTCATAAGCGAGGTGGCTTTCTGGGTCTTCTCGCCTTCTATAACTTATAATTCTGCAGATAGATTATTTTTGCATTGTTAAAAAGGTAAATAAAATGATCTTGATAGAGGGAATTTCATAAGAGTCGTGAAGTGAAGTGAGGTGTCATGGTGTCTAGAAGAGGTGTGTAGATCGGCTGAAGGTCTCAATGTTTTGCTACATTACTGCCATAAAATCGCTTATTGCTGCACATGGTAACTTTAGCTATTTCCATTTTCTAGCTTCCTTTAACATAACGTCAGACATCCTCAGAACAGGTCAGACTCTAAATGTAACCGTATGGGATTCTTGTAATGGTGATTACGAAATTTCATTTGGAGATGGCGCAAAAACAAATGTGTCCAGTCCCCAAAAGATTGCATCGTACCAATATGCCAGCGCTGGAATCTATACCATCCAAGTAACAGGGACTAGCCATCAGTCAGCACCGTGCCAGTCATCTACAAAGTCTGTGACCGTCAGGGATGCAATAAAAAACATGGTACGAAATTCATTCTTCAGTGTTAAAAGGACATGTATATTACGGCGCTGATCATGAGGGAATGATACTGTGCACCCTGAAAAACTTGAAGCTTTATAAGAATTACATTTCGGTCAGAGGGCGGGGGGTGGAATAAGTCTATAGTGCGACGCCAAGATGTGTACTCGGCCGGAACCTTTTCCGCGCGATCACATTAACCTGTTCGTGATGGCATCTACTTATGGAAGCGTCGATTGTATATTTTTTGTTTACCCTTTAGACCGCAAAAGTCAGCAGTACCCTCTGCAAAATTGGACAAAAGCTGAATATCAGCGTAGAAGTCATCCCAGACACCCCGGTCACTGTTTACTGGCGCTGGAACAAAACAGAAAACTGGACATCGGGGCCCTTAGAGTGTAAAGAACTGGGATGGCATGATATGCATGTGATGGTCGAAAATGTTGTCAGTGTAGTATCCAGCGAGTGTTACAACGAGATATTAGGTAAAATCAAAATATTATTAATACCTACTTTCTATTTCACACTGGTCGTGAACGAATTGGAATTTTGCGTACCTCAGCTTACTTTGCACTGTGCAGAATTCATTAGAAGAAAATGGAATATGATGACATATACTGATGTCATCAGTATAATCGTCTTCTTAACCCAGCATCATATCGTGGTATCATGTAAGCATTGAGAGAGATTTCAATGATTTTATTCTTGTTATGGATGGCAGCTATCAAGAGATTATAGATTTAATCTTCTCTTGCAGCTATCACTGACGCATTGGTAAGGTATTGGCATGAAGTTGTATAGTATGATCTTGCTTTCAGACGCATGGGTTTATATTGTTTGTTTGTTTGTTTGTTTACTTACATTTTTCCATTTTCATTACTTTTCAGTTGTTGATTTTAATTTTACCTTCAATCCTGAGATTGGGGCTCTGAATAGTACCGTGGAGATCACGAGATCGGATGTGGCACAGATTTCGGATGAAACAAACTACACGTAAGCCGCTATTAAAAATCTTTTACCATCATTCACGCTTGAACCTACTCCCACAATAAATTGGCTTTATTAGTCTAGTTTACTCAAAACATGGGATGAGATATGCTACCTACAGACTTCTCTTAATCTCATGATTTCTACAGTCTTTGATTTCATTTTAGTTGTATCTGTTGATGAGTTATTAGGTTTAAGAACGAACAGAACAGACTCTTCCTCAGTAACAAATGAATATAGTTTGTGCTCTATTTTAGCCAGAAATGAGAAACTATTTAATTCTCTTTTTTGGTACTTTATGATCTTAAACACCCATCGATTTGACGGCCTTTTCACTGAAATCCTAAATGCTATAAAGGTTGCTGAAACCAATATTCCTAAACCCGTTAGACTTGAAAGTTTCATCAAACTTGAAATTAGAAGAATCTTCACGTGTCCTTCAATATAAACCTATCTCCCAGATCCCACTCTAAGGAGAAAGGCTCAGGGTAGATCAACAGCATTCTAACTTTTTAGGTTCATCGTGGAATTTGAAGACGAATCCATTCGATGCCCCAACAAAACAATTTCGAAGATCTTCACAACAGCAAACCCAGATCCAGGTCATCTTGTCACACTGTGGATTTACAACCAGGAGGGTCATGCAGCGCACCTACAGAAGTACATCAAAGTGTATGAACCGGTTGAGCCTCCCATCAAAGTATCGTACAAAAATATCAGCGGAAAAAACGAACCGATCGAGTTTGTGATAGAACCTCACAAAGGGCATGGTGTCGTGTAAGTATACGCTCAATCTGTTCGTTCCCTTGTTCAGTACCAGTAGTCTGATTAGTCTAACCCTAGCCCTGTCCGCATAAAGCGACAACTCGAGGTAGAAAGAGATTTTGACGAGATACGACGTGTAGAATTTTAGGTTCGCTTTCTTAGATTCTTAAAAATGACCGTAAAAAACATAACATTCAGTAAACTAGGCTCCTCTTGGAATAAAGAGCATCAATAGTTCTACGCCGGTGGACTTTTTCATGCTGTCTTTTAAGCACTTAAAGCAGTATTGTAAATTCTTCTTCAAGTAATATTTTCAAGTTCTAAACAGACCTACCTACTTTTCCTTCTCCCCTGCGCGTTTTGCTTATAATCCTCCTCAAGAGGCGAGTTTCCTTCCGACCCTAAGAAGCATCAAGGTGCCAAAAAAATCAATACTTGCCGAATTTATGTTTTCTCCCATTCACTTTCTGCTCTACAGATACAGATGGAATTTCGGTGACAATTCCACCATCCAAAACAGCACCAACCGAACAATAACTCACACGTTTTCTTCCACTGGCGATTATTGCGTCCTCTTGTCAGCGACAAACTTCTTCTCTGAGGCCCTAATCAGTTTGAAAATGATGGTTGTAACAGCTATAGATGGCTTTGGGTTTGTTAAAAATATTACTACAGTGCAAACAGGATATCCTACAAATATTGGCATCGAAGTAAGAAATGGAAGTAGTGTAAACGTTTCCATTAACTATGGTGACGGTTCTGAACCCATGTGGATAGTTAATATTGACGACGTACTAGATATCTTTGTTATCTCCCTGTGGCATAATTACAGTGCAGCCGGTCTTTACAATATCAGTATCAAAGCATGGAATATACTGAACACCGTCACAGCCAATAGCATAGCTGAGGTACAAGATCCTGTACGGAATCTTACCATCGAGGTAAATATATGTATGAGTAATAATGAAAGTAAAATGAAGCTTACAGAATTAATGAAAAGTAATTAAATAATTCGAAAAATGCATTGATTAAGAAAATTTTCTCTGTCGAAGCGCGAATGCAAAAAGAAGCTTGACAAAATTAAGTTGAAGTTGAAGTAAAAAGTGAACTTTTATTACTATTACTATTTTCTTACAGCCAAAGTACGATACCCCATGTCTTGAAGTAAATGGGACACTTAGGGTCCATCTGACCGTAAACGGGTCCAAACCTCGATTCATCTACGATTTTGGCGACAAAAACAACGTGACCTCGGGTGAACTTATTGGAAATCACTCGTACATCACTCACGGGAACTATAAACTCAATATCACAGCTTTTAATGGCATCAGTAGTGTAGTCAAGATTAGCACAGTAACAGTGTGCAAACCGGTAGTTCTCCTCTTCAACCTCAGTGTTACAAGCCCGCCAACAAATCGTACCGATGACGTGGAGTTCACGCTTAATCTAGGAGAAGGTTCCGACTTCGAGTGCGTCTATAATTATGGAGACGGCAGTTTTGACTTCTTCGGGAAGAACTGCTATAATAAAACATACTTTGCAGACGGTGTAACCACCGATAAAACGCCTTTTATAAATCTTGAGTTCAAGTCTAAACACAATTACTCTGATGTGGGATTCTACACAGTTTATGTTAACTGTTCAAACAGATTGAGTAAGATCAACTTCACTTCTTTTGCGGTTGTTCAAAAGCCAATAGAGGAACTAGTGCTACCAGAGATTTCTCCTAAGATCCTTGGGCGTTATAATCCTATCCATTGGACAATGGCAAACGGTACCAATGTTACCTTCGTCTTAGAGGCAGAAGGAACAAAAATTAGTTATACCTCGTTCAAAACGGATACCGGAGACTTTTTTAACACAAGCACGTCTCACATAGGCACAGCGGGTGTTTATCTCGTCAAGCTTCGAGCCAAGAATAAAGTTTCTGAGGCAAGTCGCTCGATAACCCTCATAATTCAAGTTGACGTAACAGAAGTGGAGTTCAAAACTTGGACAACCACCAGCGACTATGGGTCAAACATTCCGGGATTTGGAAGCGATAACAACATATTTCCCTGTGAGTACCCCGTAAATTTTACCGCTGCGCCAAATAGAGGAACAAATCTCACCTACTGGTGGAGGTTCGATGATAACAACGAGCAAAACACTAGTGAAGCTTTTATTACCCACAAGTTCGCTGAGGGTGTGAGCGAGTATTGGACAAACGTAACCGTGTTCAATCTTGTCAGCAGCGTGACAAGGATGTTTTTACTCAAAACCGAGAAGAGTATCATGGGCCTCACTATTGATGATAACAGTCCCGTAAAGATCAACCAAACAACTTCCTTCAAACTTGGTTTTTCCAAATTCGGAACCAAAACGTGTATCCGTATGGACATGGGTGATAACAAAGGTTTATTCATGTTGGGTTACTGTCAGCCTAATGCAAATGTCATAGATGAAAACTCCAATAGCTATGTTCAAAGCTACATTTATTCCTCTATTGATGAATTCTGGGTGAAAATCAACGCCACCAACACTGTATCACGCCAAACGCTAGAGTACAAATCGGTCATAGTGGCACTTTCATGCTTCTATCCTAACGCCTCAATGTTGGGTGAGTCGATTTGCTGTTTTTACTGTCACTGTTTCAGTTAATCTGGTCATTGCTTTCCTTTTTGCTGTTCTTGACGCTCACGTGGCGTGTAAGAGATTCCGACGACATGCGTTGGTTTAGTCTCGTTTGCATTCTGATATGTTGTGACGCAAACAATCTTAATGAACACAAAATGGCCAAAAATTCTAACTAATGGGCGGTAGAATGTCTACCATGTCACAAAGAGAGGCCAGGAGGGTGAGGATACCTAGAAAAGATTCGTTGAGCATTCGGAAGAAGGTTTGGACACGGGACAATTATATTTTGCTTTATTTCAAATTCCCCTAATGAAGATCAAAATTATCTTTGAGGATTTATACTACATTTACGAATAAAAGTGGAACCTTGGTGACACCCACGGAACTAGAGAAATTAGCTCTTGATTGGAGGATTCCCCTTCACCTTAGATAAGAAGTGTAGCTAGAGCGCAATTTTTCCAGCCGGCACAAAAATCTGTGTCCCTTTGATGGAAATGTCACCCGGATGGGCAAAAGGGAGGGATCTAAATAGCGTAAAATGTTTTGTTGTTGTTATTTTTAACCAGATGTGAGTGCAAACGCGAGCCTGTTTACGGAGAAGAAACGTTCAGAACCCATCCAAATAAGGACCAAGTCAGAGGTTGATTGTGAAGCTTCAAAAACTACTCTTTTTAAGTGGAAATGTTTCCAGATATCATCGGATCCAAAAGTCTACACGCCACTTGCCGAGGGTATTCCGATACCTTTAACAGTGGATGATCAGGCTGAATTAAACATACCTGAAACTGGCCTTGACTTCGGCTTCTACAAACTTGAGTTCACCATTTCCATGGAAGGTATTGAAGGCGTCTCTGGGTCAGCGGAAGGGTATATCCAAGTGGTACCAACCAACAATTCTTTGACGGCTTTCATCGATGGAGGACCATACAAACGGTACAAGTTTGGGAAAAATGTAAGTTTATTCAAACCCAAAGATGGAGGATAAAAAATTTTCCGAAAGGGGAGGATGATGTCAATGAAGGAACAACAAAATCATCATCTTTCACACGCACAACACATCAGTTTCAAAAACCCTAAAATAAGTAGTTTCTCGGCTCACCTATCAACCTCGGCCCCATTAATTTAGGTAATATAGTTGGGTGACACGATGTTTAAATCGTTATATTTTGAATTAAATCCTCATCAATATCAGTTACTATCGAAGTCCAAATTGAAGACGATCAAAGACGTCTTCAAGTGACTTGATGTGAAAAACACCGTGTTGATAATTACTAGTTAAATCAGCATTTCACACTTTTGAAAAAAATCCAAAAACTTACCCAGAGCTTCTCTTAAGTTTATTTGTGTATTTATCTTGCTTTTCTTGCTAGATTACTGTGAGTGCCGAGTCTTCAAAAGATATAGATTTTCCGCGGTTATCTGATGCTTCACCGAAATATTATTGGCTTTGTCGAAACTCTTCGGAGTCTGAATTTATCACAAGTGGAGATTTAACCCAAATTCAAGTTGTTGAGGTACCAGAACTTGATGGTAGCGGCAGCCAAAACAAAACTGAGGTAACCAATAATTTACTTTTTTGATGTTGAGAAGATTCATGCTCTTATGAAGCTGCCCATACCATTCCTGACAGACAAGCCACGGCTATCAAATCATCTTTTCCTCAAGTCGCTGGTATTCTCAAGAGCACCCTTATTCCAAAAAAAAATTTCTTGTCTTAATGCAGACCTTAAAAAGATGATCACCGAGGCTTGTTAATTTTTGATAATCATCTTCTATGTCGATTTCTTTCAGAACCGTGGAGGCTGCTTTAAAACTGGAAAAGGTCGCCTCAATATCGTGGGTCCTGTCGGGTACATTGACTCCAGACGGGGAATGTCAGAAAATTCTACGTAAGTATGATGGAATTGAATAAACCGCGCATAACAAAACAGGCATGAGGTGATTATGAAATATATGTGCGGTTGAGGGGACGACGACCTCACTCTTCACATTTCAGTTACTTCTGAAAATAACGCTTTCAGTCACAACTCTCAAATAAAAAGCCCCAATATAGGGGATGATCAAGACAAAAAGAGGCATTCTTCTGTCGCGAATTTTTCGTAAGGGACAATCTTTCTTAAGTTATTTATAGAAATTTTTTTTTGGAGATTCCAGGACTATCAAATAAGGTGTCGCTTCTTTGGCCACAGCGGTTACTTGAAGCATGGAGACTTTTTCTGCAGGATACCGTTATATGCTAGAAAACGCTAGTACCAGACTAACAATGCAGCCGAGGCCTAGGTACGAGTTACTAAATCAACGACTTTTAGAGCTCTGATGCATAGAGACGTAAAACTAGCTATTGTGTTGCTAGGTACTTCATCACACTTGTCGTCATCGACGAAAACCCCTTTTGGAGTAACAGAGCTGTCTTCAATCATAAGATGGAAATTGTCTTTGGCGACCCACCAGAAGTGGAAGTGCAGTAAGTATTTGTCATTTACTAGTGACGATCAGATATTCTTGTTGAAAAAATTAAGAACCTTCAAAGCTTTATCTAATCATTTATATATCTACTTGAATACCTTCCTCTTGAGGAAGCACCTTAAATCTCCTTCACCCCTTTCTTTCCCACAAGTAAAGGCCCTCAAGGAAAATCCGCAACTATTATCAGTACACTTAGAGTCTTTCAATCTCCAAGTACATAGGCTTCAGTAAAGGTAACGCAGAACCGGTTCTTTCCATTCATCCACCTCTAGTTATCTATACAGATTTCTCCACGGTTTTATATGAATAATGGTGAAGATTGTTCGTCATATCAGTATTTAACCAAAATAGACACCATTTTTATGGAAAATTCACCTCCTTTCTTCAGCTAGTGATACGTACAACGCTTTCCCTGTCACGAGGGAAGATCATTTACTGTTGAAGGTACTGGGCTCCAACTGGCAGACGGCTAATCAATCCTCTATTAAATTTTAATGCACGTGATTTGATCAAAATTTGCACCGTTAACCATTATTAGGAAGCAGGATCTAAGAAAATTAGGTCCGTTGTCTATGTAGATGTTTTCAACGGAGTTTGGAAACCTCCTGCTTTAGCCAGTTAACTTCTAATGAGTCTCTTTTGTTACTCAATCAATTAGATGCAGTCCTGTCTGTCCGCCGAAAGTAAACATCGACCAAAAACTTCCCCTGAAGGGTACTTGTAAAGATTGCTATGGGAAACTGAATTTTGAATGGAAACTGTTTAGACATTTGAAGCCAAATACAGATCCTACAAAGACTGAAGAGATGGAGCTGGTGGAGAACCTCAAAGAAAAGTCATCAACGGGTGATACGTCACTCAATCTTGCACTAAATAAAGACATACTACCGAAAGATCAAGAATTTACAGCTGTATTCAGAGCTTATCGGCTTAGCGGGCAATACGGGGAGTACATCCATACTTTTGTAACGAATTCTCCACCAGAAAATGGTAAGTAAATCAATTCTAACGTTGTTGAAACTTCCTTACGATGGAACAATTAGATGTACCGCAGAAAAATCTAAGCTATAGTATCTAATCACTTAAATGCACAATTTTTATTTTATTTTATAACGAGGACCGCTCCTTTGGACAAAGCTTAGCTGAAGCGGAAGTGACTCGCCCAACTGAAATATTTTCAATCGAGAGACAATCAGGAAACTGGATTTATCTTTCTTTCTTACTAATAACAGCAATTCCTGTGTGCTTTGCAACGAATATCTATTATATTTGAAATATACAGTCCACAGTCATGGGCAACTTCAAAGCTACGGGGATCGAATGTTTGTGAGCGGGATTTTGAGTTTTAGACTTTCCGAATGCTAAACAAGGAGACATCTTTGCCTCGCCGTATTGATGATATGTTTACCTTGATAATGTTTACTGGCTTATTTTTTTTCCCAAGGAACCTGTGAAATATACCCCAAGATAGGATATGCTCTGAACACGTCCTTTAGGATAAACTGCTCCGATTGGATGGATCCTGATCAACCGCTGACCTACGAGTTTGCTTACGTCAACTACTACCAGGACAACGTGTTTTTCATGTCGCATGAACCCACTTCGTCGTCAGTACTTCTTCCCATGGGACACGAATCTAATAATTTCACCCTGGAAATGAGGCTTAAGATAATTGACAGATTGGGTGCTGCCACCGTTAGGCCAATTACAATTCAGGTAGGATGCCACATCAACAACAGATTGAAATAAGATTACACGGAATGCTTCGAAGAAGCCATAACGCAGTGCGCTAATTCATCATAATGAAGACATTCATTTTAGTTCTATTTTACCTTGCAAAAACGTTAATGGGGGGTGGGGGGGGGTGGTCAGAGACTGTTTAGTTCTCCACCTTGTTAACTAAAAAGTAATAATTTGTAATCATAATAATTTGCGATGCTTTCAGATTCCAATGTCACGTTGTTCTAATACCCTCTCTTTACATTTCATAGCGAAAAAAAAAATCGGTGTTAGTCATCTAAGTTAAAGGAACGGTCTACGTGAAGTTAAGTCAAGGGAATTAATAGTTTCAGTTTGTGATGTTAAAATCATTTATGCTACGCTTTAGGGTACTGCAGGGCCTGTCTCTCTACCGGCGTGAAATTTTTCATTTCCCTTAAAACCTTGCACAACTGGTCATCGCATATGTTAGCACTCCCAAGTGCGCATCATGAACCTATTCTATTATCATTAGCAATATCACTATTTCATTATCATTATCTTCATCGTTGTCATTATCAGTATCTTTATTATTATTTCTACCCATCTTGGTATTATTATTATCATTATTATTGCTATTGTTGTTTTTATTATTATTATTGTTATCAACTGTACCTTCCCTACTCCTAATAAATCAGCTTACCAAGAGTCTTCAATTATAACGTACACCTAATCTAAAAGACTTATTTTTTCTTTTAAGGTAAAACCTACGGACCTGAGCAGTGACAGACTTGGTGAGCTGATTGGTGGCAAGGATGGTTTGTTGAAAGAAGCCAAGAAAAGAGGGAACTTGCAGGAAATGGTAGAAATTGTTAACGCTGTTGGCTCGATTTTGAACTACCAAGGAAGGAAAGCCGACGACGGGGCAAACATGACTTCAGAAGATCAGAAAGGCGTTGATGCTCGAAAAGAAGTATGACTGATTCAACAATTCTTCCGTTCATACTAAAGTATCAATCGCACATGTCACTTTCTTTATGTATCATCCTCGCCTCTGACATTTTTCTGCCGTGCCAAAGACCATTTTAAGGTCGCTCTTTTTTCAAACAATATATTTGACGCTGATCATTGATTTTCCTTCCACTGGTTTGCTTTAAGACCAATCGGAAAACTCAGACTTTCTATTTTCCTTTCTTTCTTCCCTTTATGGTCAAACACAAACATCTTTTTAGAAAAGTTAACAGACGCTCAGACAAGTTTCACTCTAAGATCCTTGATTGTTTAAGTTACATGTTTTAAGTTACATGAAGCTTTTAAACACGAGTTTTTTTTTCCAATTTATAACGCATGCCATCTACAGTTCTATAACCACTTACAATACCAGTAAATAAAAACAAAGCCGGTCTGAACGGCTATGAGCGAAGTGATAATTTATTTTTCATTGCCGCTCCAGGGAACTTGATTTCTTTTTTCTTTGTTTTTTAGCTTCGACGTGAAATTTTGAAAGATTTGTCCGAGTTTAAAATGTCTACAGTGGGTCACGTCAAACTGTTGGCATCAGCCATTGATGTGTCGACTGAGGTTAAAGACGAAGTAGATACAAAATCTCAGGTGCGATTGATTATTACAACTAAAAGACTCTTGTAAACTAGACGATTCTCTTTGATTTTCTTGGCTTGTTCAGACAGTACATAACACCTTCTCCCTTTCTTTAATTTCCCTCCACAAATTTTTCTCGACCTTTTCTTTGTTCTTCTAAAAAGCATCTCCTACCTTACCTTAATCAGAATTGCTGAGGGTTTATTGAGACAAACTAGCATCATGTCCCATCCAGGGTGAAGTAACCATTATCCTGGTCGTTAGTTGCTAGGAAAACTAAGGTGCTATCAGGCTCATAAGACCAAATCTTTTAATCGTGTAACCATTTCATTACAAAGATCTAAGCATCAATTCTCCATAATGATTGCAATGCATATCTTGTAACTTTAGATATAAAAATTTGGTGTTAAATCAGACTCTGTCCCCAGCTGGTTGAAATTCTTCTTCCTTCTTATTGTGTTATAGTCTTGATTTTGTACGGGCCGGGGAAGCGAATGTTTTGGTCACTCTTTGGAGTGAGATAGTTAACCCTTTCATTCCCAAGATCTCATGAGAAATTCTCCTTACTGTCGGCCATACGCTTCTTATGATGTTAGTTCTGGGAATTTGGTATTGATTGAATCAACTATTAATCCCCTAACTAATATTTTTCTTTATTCTCGTCACTTATCTGTTTGATATTATATTTATTTAGTAAAGAGAAATTTTGCCTTGGTCGCTTATGTGAGTTAAAGGGTTAAAGGCGCTGGGTCTCAAAAGTTTTCTATCCTTCTTTCTTTAGGAGCTGGCTTTGGTCACATTTCGGATAATGGCCTTAGTATTAACTAAAGAATCGCAAAATAACGCGGGATTCAAGGCTGTTAAGGAAACCGTTACCTCATTTCTAGGCGGACTAGCAAACGTACTTATTTCTTCGGCCTCCTTGGCGAAGGTTGAAAACGCGGACTCAAGGGATAACATAACAGGTTTTACTGGTAAAAATTCAACTGGAGGAACAGTTTCTGTCAAGAAACAGGTAAGCGATGAAAGTGTGCTGAAAATTATGTCTGACAAGGACCACTAGCTTAATGACAAAATTCTAGTGGACTGGTTCTGAGTGATTGGGAGACGCGATTACCCAGTACTCATCGGAATGGTCTGGATCCAATCCCTACCGGAAGTATCGTGATTAGCATGATACTTTACTTCTTCAGTACGAATGAGTCAAGGGCCTAGCTAGGGGGGATCAAGGGGTGCCCGTGACCCCCACCCTCCTTGAAAGCCTTTCTTTAAACAAACAACCTACAATATTCAGGTGGCGAAAACTGGTGAGTACCTTCTATTTGACACAGTGTAATCCCCCATTTGAAAAATCAAAGACTACGCCCCTGTGGGTACCGGCAAACTGTCAGTAAAATGAGACTAAAAATTTAACAATTGTTCCATGAGTGTGTGTTAGATATGAGATGGCCAAGACCAGTCTCGTAGCCAGCTAACGCGAATGAAAATATATTTTTTAATGAAATGCCCCTAAATCCTGAACGTGAACCAATCAGAACTCTACTAAAGCAATATCTGGAGTTGAAAATTTAATAAAAAAAGCGTATGGTTTGGCATTCCACCCAGAACTGAGTAGCACTACACCTTGCAACAAAAACCGTGCAGGGATATATGTGAAAGCACAGATAATTATGAGCAACTTGGCTTCTCCTTTGAAGACGAACACTTTTAAGGCTTGCGCATGTCCCGATCGTGGGGAGTTGTTCAACTTTTAGAAAATTAACCGAGCCTATTCCTCTTCTTTGCATCTTTGTTAGCATTTATTAAAGTTTTTCATTTGCAATTCTTGTCAGTCTTCTCAACACTCCACCATTCTCGTCCCGTGTTTGCTCATCATTTCAATTTTGATCTTTGGAGAAGCTACCAAACTGATATTTCATACATATTTTCCTTCACGCGGAGGAAAATTGTAGAAGTCTCTCGGTTGTTGAAAAAAGAAAGTATGAACTGACTCCGCTCTGCTCTTAACCTCCGCTTTTTCCCCTCACTTAAGGCACGAAAACGAACGTCAAAACTCTATTCGTTAGTTGACGACTTGGGACATACTGTTATGGAAAACATGGTGGCTGGAGAGCCTTCCTTGGTGATGAAAACCCGCAACTTCAACCTAACTGTAAAGAAAGACTTGTTTCAAGACTTGGGTAACACCAGTGTCACAGACAAATACGCTAAATTCAACTTGCCATCTCTGGAGGACATGGGGCTAGGTCTTGATAAGAATGGATCACGGCAGTACACATCTGTGGAATTACAGGTAGGCCATGGTCGTTGGAGAAACAGAGGAAACACCCGATACTCCTTAAAACATTCAATTCTGAGATAAGATTACTCTAGAATTCCTTAAAATCATAGTTGAAGTAATTGGGATTATATTTAAATGTTTTATAAGTCTAACCTTATCACCGGTTTGATAACGGAAGGATTACGTACTGCATGATATTGCAAGAAAGCCTCACATCTCTCGAAAGTTATGCAAACACCCGAATGCGTCTGTGGCTTGCATCAATCGCCTAGAACTCTCCCAAACCATCACGTGTTCAAATGAGGTTATGTAAACGCGGGAAAAAGCTTTACAAACATGACCATCCCTGGGACTCCAATTTTATTCACTCACGTGAAGCTCTCAACATATATTGCTAATCCCGGCAAGATGCGGTTCACGTGTCACTTATACCATTAAAAATATAAATAAGTAGTTTAGTTTATATATCCCTTCTCTTATTCCATCGGTTATTGAAATAAAAAAAAACGACGCATTCATCTCGTCACTGCAATTTTTATCTGTATACCTTTCCTTTACTCGAGTTTTTTTCTTCGTGTACCGATTGATCGCGAACACTCTTATGTTATTTTTTCAGATGACCTCCATCCCAGACAACTTATACACTTGGTCGAACACCAGCAAACAAGTCAATTCCTATCAGGTCAGCCTCAACATTAAGGACGAAAGTCGGAAGCCTCTCGACACCTCTAACTTCTCTAGAGACGCTGAACTTTTCATACCTCGCAACGCAAGCAACCTCGCTAAATATGAAGATTTCTATGTGAAACCATTTGGAGACAGAAAATTCATTCAGTATCATCAAGTTGACGTTAATTCTGTAAACTACTCTGTTCACATCCAACTGAGGCCCGTAAACGAGTCTCTTGAAAAACTTACAGTTCTTTTACGGTATAACGAAAGACCAACCCTGGAAAACTTTGAATACAACTGGACAATACCGGATCTCAGCAGTTGTTCCTATCAAAATGTCTCCAGGCTTATCAATTCGTCGTTACCAGGTTCCGCAAGCAACATCACGAACTCGTCCGGGCGCAATTCATCTGGCATTGAACAGATCACTGTAATTGACGTAGAAAGAGATTGCAAAAGAGATCCGTATACTGTCTCTATCAGCAATGAAGTGGTGACTAAAAGTGGCAAGTATTACCTTGGTAAGTGTACGTTTAAAAAAACTATCTATTCAGGGTCTGAGTGTGGGGGAAATTGCACGCTGTGAAGGTGCACTATACCTTACAATGGAACGAACTTACTACGGAATCGTACTTCCTTTTTTCCAGCCATAGTTTACGAGGAACCTGAGCCAGAGGCAGAGAAAGCAACAAGCTCTCCAAATGTTGAGCGCAGACGAAGAGATATCGATGTTGAACATATTCCAATCGCCTGCAGGGGATCTCATGGGAGAACGAAGAGGTCATGTGTTATTATACCACCACCCCCACCAAAACCAACCACTCCTTCCACACAGCTGTCCGGAACCAGACCTGCAAATGTCGACTACCAAGGGAACCTCTTTAACCCCAATGACACAGAGCATTACTTGATGAGAGTGTTTTCATCCAATTGTTTATTCTGGGATGAAAAAAGTGAAAACTGGATTAACAAGGGATGCAAGGTACATGATTACAGGCTGCTAAGGGATCGTCTCGAAGGGGGGGGGGGGCTCGTGATCTTATCCCCCTTATTGGCTGTCAGTTTTCTATAGTACCCTTTATACTCTGTTAGCGACGACTGATCCCCCTTCCGTTCCCCTCTGAAAACCTTGTGATGGCCCATAAATTTCTCCGACCCCTTTACCCACCCCACCACCTTACCACCCCCCCTCACCTCCACCTCCCCAACATTAGCAATAGATAGTGACTGGTCCTTCAAACGCCAGTTGGAGTTTTTGCTTTCGTTTACTTGTTTCTGTTGTCGTTTTTATTTGTTTCTTTTGAGTTTGAGGTCCCTTTTTTTGGACAGGTTAACCGTTTTTCTTTGTTTGCTTTGTGTCCATTTTTAAGACAGTTCATCTGCTGTTCTTTGTTTCTTCGACTTTTATATCCACTTTTAAGCTCATCTGATTTTCTTTGTTTCTTTGACCTTGATGTCCATTTTCAAGACAGTTCATCCGCTGTTCTTTATTTCTTCGACTTTGATGTCCACTTTTAAGCTCATCTGTTGTTCTTTGTTTCTTCGAATTTGATGCCCATTTTTTAAGCTCATCTGATTTTCTTTGTTTCTTTGACTTTGATGCCCACATTCAAGACAGCCCATCCGTTGTTCTTTGTTTCTTTAACTTTGATGTCAGTTTTTGAGACAGCTCACCTGTTGATTTCGATGATGTTTGATGAATCATTACTTCCTAACAGGTCGGAGAAGAAACCACACCTGAACTTGTTCACTGCAAGTGTAGTCATCTCACATCATTCGCCAGTGATTTTCTTGTGGCGCCAAATCCAATCGATTTTGATAAGGTTTTTTCTGCTGACCTTAGCAAGAACTTTGCAGTTTTGTTAATGGTTTGCCTCCTGTTTGGATTGTACTTTGTCCTTATCATCATTGCTCGAAGATTTGATAGGAGAGACCTTGATAAGGTATGACATTACATCTAGTCACTGTAAAGATTTACCGTCTATCATCTATACCGCATAGCAATCGTACGCTTACCGCACGGTTACCACACTCAAGTAATTTTTGGAAGTGAGACATGGGGAGAAGTTGATCGTTCTAACTTTAAATTTGCATAAGGATCATTCGAATAACGAATTTGACTAACGATGACGATTTATTTGCCAAGAATTCAGTCGGTAGTTATGTTATCGCGCACAGAGCCGTACAAGTCATGTAAAAATAGTGTTATTTATAAGCTAGAAATATCTTCCTGAGAACGAATGAATTTTTAATTAGTAATTTATTTCATCGACATCACAGCTTGGGGCCACAGCGGTGAGGAACAGAAACGATGCTTCGTTTCCATATTTGATAAGCGTTCACACTGGAGTGAGGCAAAACGCAGGGACCACTAGCAGCGTTTATATAGTACTCTCAGGTGATGAGTGGGAAAGCACCCCGATGGCCCTGGTAGACTTAGACCGAAAAGTGTTCCAGAGAGGCCAGGAAAACAATTTCATGATTACTCTTCCGAGAAGGCTTGGAAACCTTTCCCATATCAGGATATGGCATGATAACTACGGTAAAGATAAACAATTACATGTGAATAGTTAAACGTGAAATAATAAATGGTTTTTAAGGTGGTAAATAAATGGGCAAAAAAACAAAAAAACAAAAAACAGGCAGAAAGACACTTACTGAATCCTAGAAGACACCTAATTCATCATAAAAGGGTGGTGGTGATTTATGAGTTGCTTGTTCGACAATAAGAAAAGACTTGGTGGAAGAAAAAAATCGATGAACCCGCCTTTTTCCAAGAAAAGGGAAACGGTTAAATCAGTTAAAGAGAGGTCCCAGCTGATTTTATGGAGAGCTTGACGAAATTTTGGGACGTAAGCTGCAATGAGCAAGCATCCTGTCTATGAAGGGGTGGAGGGTAGCGATAAGTCCCGTCATGCTTTGAAACCAAGATAAGTTCAACTAATCCAAGTTACTTTACTCGTTTGCAAGAATGTCTGTTGAATCTCGAAAGAAACCACGGGAATTGAAAACCCACTTACACATTATGAACCTTATTTTGTGTATTAAGGGACCAATCCGTCTTGGTACCTCAGTCGCGTGTCTGTGGAAGATCTCCGGACGGAGGAACGCTGGTATTTCATCTGTGAACGTTGGTTGGCTGTTGAAGAGGATGACGGGAAAGTAGAGCGAGTACTTCCGGTTGCAAGCGAACAAGAGCTGACTCATTTTCAACATCTTTTTGTGAGTAAGACCGTAAGGGAACTAGGCGATGGTCATCTGTGGTTCTCAGTCGTGACACGCCCCGCAACGAGCCCGTTCACACGAGTTCAGCGAGTATCATGTTGTCTTTCGCTGCTCTGCTGTACGATGGTCACAAACGCTATGTTTTATCAGATGGGAGGAGAGGGTGAAAAGGCGACCATGATTCAAATAGGATCGTTCGAGTTTGACCTCCGAGGCTTTATCATCGGAATACAAGCGAGCTTCATTGTGTTCCCTGTCAACTTTGCATTGGTTCAAATCTTCAGAAACGTGCGACCGAAACAAGTTAAACTAGAGAAAAACATAGAGACTGTGGAAAAGCAAGAAACAGATTTTGCTGACATTAGCAGATGTTCCTCCATAGAGACGCTACAGAACGCGTCTAGTCAAGAGAAAATAATTGATAAAGAGGATGGCGGCAAAAAGGACAAGGACAAAAAGAAAAAGACCAAAAAGGGTCTTCCACATTGGCTGGTCTATGTAGCTTGGGTTCTATGCTTCTTGTCGTCTGTCACCTCAGCACTTTTCACGGTCTTTTACAGTTTGTCCTGGGGACCAGAAATCGCAAACAAATGGCTGTTAGCCTTTGTGACGTCATTCTTCCAGTCAATACTAATAATACAGCCCTTGAAAGTGGTGTTAGTTGCCCTACTTTTTGCGATGATTATCAGGAAGCCGATAGATTCAGGTGACGAGGGACACGACAAAAAAGAAGTCAAAGCAAGTCCCGACGGTAAGGAGACTGGGGACGACGTTCTACTTGACTACGATGAGGATGACGAGAGATACAGGTACGAAATGCAATAACAAGGGATACATTGTTCAAAATAAAATGGAGTTAATCCCGGGTTTGTGAGGCGAATATTTGCATTGAGTTGACCAGTAATGCTCTGATATTCCATCCAATGCTACGAGGAGAGAAACTAAGATAGCTTTCGGGGCTTTCTGGCTGAATCGGAAAGTATGGAGGTTGTTGTTGGTCAAATACAACTCTTTCCCTTTATCAGAGGCAATTTGCACTAGATGCACTTGACATTAACTGACTCTAAAGTACCAGTCCGAATGACATATAGGATGTATAATAGAATTCTTGATTAGACATTATCGACCATTGAAATAATATCTTTGAATTAATATTTTTTCTATCATTGCGATTGTTCTTCAGGCCCCCGGACGAGGATTTCTTAAAAGCTGCCCGAGCACAACGACTGAAGGAAGTGCGCATGTCTGAAATCATAAAAGAAATCGTCACCTACTTTTTGTTCGTCATGCTACTCGTGCTGGTTGCCTATGGCAACAAGGACCCCAATACGTACCTCCTGAGGAAGACCCTCCATGAAACTTTCGTGGACCTGGACCAAACCGGTGTGGACTTGGCTGACGTATGTTTAAAAAATAATTCTGTATTTACATACTACGGTCTCAATTCTTAGGGAGCACCGAGCGGGATGAATGACATGCTGTTCTGAGCTAGTGAGACATTTTATTGGCACAATGCCTCTTTTCACTCAAAATAAGCAGCTAGGTTGCCGAGCGGCGTTTGTGGTCAAATTGTAAGCACATTTGAAGATATTTTTTGGAAGGTCAGTTCACCCTTTGGAATCTTAAAAAAACTTTATGATGCTTCTCGGTGTTTGAGTTTAAATTATGTGGACACTGAGGTACACTTCTCCTTAAGGGGAAAATAACCTAAGAATCCCTTCAAAAATCCATCCGTCGAGCCAGCCTCATGTTACAAGAGCTTTTTTACTCTTTCTTTTCAGGCGAGTGATCTAGAGCTATTTTGGCATTGGAATCGTGAGACGCTGATACCAAATTTGTACCCAGGGCTGTTGTACAACAACAAATCGGACAAGTACACTGGGTTCATCTATGACAGAAATAACTACTTGGTTGGAATCTCCAGGTTAAGACAGGCACGCGTAGAAAAAGGTAAGACTTCCGCCTTGACGTAAAAGTCCCTGGTAAAAATACCCGCTGAATCGCCTGGAAATTATCTTTACAAGGGGCAGCTACACACGAACATTCCCTTCTTATGTGACGTAATTGAAAATTAATGTCTTTCTTCCTTTATTCCTTTCACAGATTCTTGCGAGGTTGACGAACACTTCACGTCCTTTTTTGACAAATGCTTCGCAGAATACTCAATAATAAATGAAGATACAGAAGATTACGACATTGGTTGGAAGTTTCTAAACAAAAGTGCCGGCGATGTGAAATCTCGCCGCAAAAGAAGCATTCAAGAACAATTTGCCTTCCGCAAAGGGGATAAAATTCTCAAGGGCTTCGGAGAGCAACCCAAAGTTCGGCGCCGCCGTACAATCGAACCCGTTTATACGTCTACTTCAGGTCGTCAGCAGAGAAAACGGAAGCGTCCCGGTAGCACAGCTAAAAATTACTACGTTTTGAACTCTGCTATTCTACCCGACGGATCAATTGTTTCGTGTCCCTCCCGCTGGTTGCACAAAAGCGCGTTAGAACTCAGAGGGTATCCCTTCTGGGGACGACTAACCCTGTACGGTGGAGGTGGATATCCCGCGGAATTGGGATACGATTACCCTACGGCACTCACAGTAATTGCTGATCTTCACTCACATAACTGGGTGGACCCACAGACGCGTTCAGTGTTCGTGGAATTTACGGTGTACAACGCTAACATCAACTTATTTGGCATAGCCTTCATGTTCGTCGAGTTCCTGCCGACAGGTGGAGGATTCCCTTACGCGCACTTTGCCGTGGCGAGGTTGTACAGTTATGTCGGACCATTCGCCAACTTCATTCTTGCATGTCAAATCTTCCTGATTCTGTTCATGCTTTATTTCATGTACCGCGAAGGGAAGAAGATGTACAAGCAACGCAAGGCGTACTTCCGCGGATTTTTCAACTGGATGGAGGTGACACTGATCATTTGCGAGTTTGCCATGGTAATTCTGTACTTTGCACGCCTCTGGGAGGTGGACAAGAATCTGATGAAGCTGCACCACAACCCCAAGGATTTTGTTAGTTTCCAATATGCCGGGGCTGCGGACGAGTCGCTTTCTGTAATTATGGGTATTCTTGTGTTCCTTGTGACCCTCCGATTCCTGAAACTTTTCAGATTCAACAAGCGAATGTCACTGCTAGGATCAACCCTCGGAGAAATTGCGAAGCCTCTTGGAATGTTCTGCATCAGTTTCATGATCGTATTCATTGCCTTCGCACTCATGGCTTGGCTGTTGTTTGGTCTTCAAATCGACAAATTTAGAAACTTCTTCAGCGTTCTTGAAACTCAAATGAGCATCGTTCTGGGTGATTTCGACTACGATGAGATGCGGAGTGTAAACCCTCTGCTCGGACCCATCTACTTCTTCACTTTCATGTACTTCTGCGTCTTCTACCTGCTGAACATGTTCATGGCGATCATAAACGACACCTTTTCGGAGGTCAAGTCCTCCAATGATGGGCAAGACAACGAGTACGAAATGGTGGAATTCATCCTATCCAAATTTAAAGAGAATCTGGGTCTGAATCGAAATAAAATCGGAGCTGGCAAGAGCCCGTTCGTGAATCCGTCTTCGGGTTTTCCGTCATCTCCCCCGTTCTCGCCTTCGGATTACAAGCACAGGGAAGACGACTCGGTCTCGGAGAACACCGAGCAAAGCCAAATGGAATACGACGACGAAGAGTATCCGACTGGACCCGAACTACACCCGACTGAACTCGTAACTCAAAACGTCTTTCGTACCCTGTCGGCGTTGAACAAGCGCCTTGACGAGTTGACGACGTTCGTCGAGGAAAGCGAAAAACATGACGCTAGAAGCGACGAAATGCTGCTCGACATGATCGATAAAATGAAAAGCGAAACAGAAGATGATGAGGTGTACGAACAGTTCCTAAATATGGAACAAACACAATTGTAGACACTTCGGTGTTGTTAACATGCAATTTTGCGTAGTTACAGTTGTGATTATGTTAAAACCGAGCTCTTTTAAATGGTCTCAATAGACGCTTGGTTACAACGGATGCTTGACTTATTTTAATTTAAGAGGCGATAGATCAGTTTTTCACTTTATGCAGTAAGGTTAAACCATTGATTTTACCCCACGTCGAAATGCACTTATTTGGCAAAGTAAGTTGTAAATAACGATAATTTTAGTAAATTTTTGATAGTGACTTACATCTTGCTAAGATGCAAAACTTAATGGCAAGGACCCAAAGTAGTCCATGATTTTTATTTTTTGAACAGCTGTCGATAATTGGTAGTTAGGACGAAAATAGTGCAATCGTGAGATGGCTGTAAATCACTAGGCAACACTAAAAATCACAAATTGTGAGTCACAAACAGCCACGGGAAAAAAAAAAGATTTCAAAGCCAGCAGAGGCAAAGACGCACTCGGTGGAGTCACGGCGACAGTTAACTCAAACGACATTTGATCTTTGCGCACGTCACTTCTGAATAAAACATTTAGCAAAAATTGACGCTTGATATTTGAGCGTCACAAAAATGTCTTTTAAAATGTACATAGTGTGCACATTATTCTTTAATCAGCGTATTTTCCTAAAAGCCTACTGGCAAAGTCTCGATGACAACTTCTAAAGTTTACAAGGGACCTGTAAGAAGCTCGCATAAAAAGGCACAATATATCAACAGATGGAAAGCACGGGGAAAGTTGTGTTCTCGCAACTATACCTGACTGGCTAAGAAATTGTGTTTTTAAAGATTTGAAATGATTTCTCCAGTACCTTGAAGTAGTAGAATAGGGCACAGTAAATAAACTAACAATGCAAATAGTTTGCTGTCTTTACTATCAACACATTGTAAGTTGGGGCAATTTTTCCTCACATGTGTAAAAATGATCTCAACTCTGTCACACTATAGAACACTACGCGCAAGTTTCCTTTCGTTCTTTATAGTAAAAATCACATTTCAGCGAAATGAGAAGCTCGGCAGTTTCCACAGAAAGTTGCTTTTAAAACCTGTAATAGTACTATGGTTACATAAACTAACCTAATCTGATTGATAAAAATTAATTGACCTTTTCATTAATCAAACTGGTCATCATTTAGATAAGCAGTTGATGTTGACTACCACGACGTTTTTGTCCCAATCGAAAGGGAATCGTTTTGTATTGATAAACATTTGTAAAATAACAATGTTATTGTAGAATTGAGTCTGACTCACACTAATTAATTAAACTAAGAATCTTTGCTCAACAATTGATGTTGAATTTTAAAACGTTTTTGCCACAAAGGGAACTCTTTTGTATTGACCGATAAGATTTCTAAAATAGATGATATAATTGTAGTATTGACTCAGACTCGCTGTTAGGTCAAGTTTGAAGTTCTTGCAGGTACATGAATCTACAATTCTTACACTTTTCGGATCAATATCAGTATCTGGGCAACTGCCCACCTACCCCTCCCCTAACCCAACATTAACCCTAACTTGTTATCAATTGACTGTTGTTGAGTTACGGGAGGGGTAGGTGGGCAGTTGCCCAGATACTGATATTGATCCCACTTTTCTATGATAAAATAAACACGTCTAAGAAATTTCATGACTTTCTTGCCTTTCTCTTTCTCATCTCCATTTCCTTTATTAATGAAAAGATTACAGTTACATGTACTACTTAAAACTCTTCCATACTCCTCTTCGTTGGTCCCATCTGTTGGAACCCACCGAAAACTTTGTTTGCCTGTCTGTTCTTGGTGATCATTGATGAGTACAAGGTATATACAAAAAATTACATTCCCTACCTGCAAATAAGTGATTTAACTTCTTAAACAGCTTTGAGCAAAAAACTGCTCTCCTTGGTTTCAAGTTATCATTAACATTTTCTGATTTTTCCAAGCAAGCATGAAAATAAATCCAGAATTTCTTTACAATTTAGCAGCAAGTCTGCAACATCAAATTTTTCTCTCAATATTTTGAAGTACATCTGTAAAACATCACAAACTTCTTCCAACTTTCCGAGGTGAAGCAAACATTCTGATTAAATTATTTGCATGACCACAACAGAACTGCCTTTTTTTATAAGTCCTTATTAAACCTTTTCATTCCAGTTTGTGATCAAGATGTATCTTCTCCAGACATCTCCTAATACACATTTTGGCAGGCAGATGATGAGAAAAACAAACAGATCATCTGGTAGGTGTTATTCAGACATGACACCAAATTCTCTTTACTAATTTACACTGAAACAATCAGCCACTAGAAAGGAGAATTTTCAATCAAATCTTAGACATTCAAGGTAATTAGGTCATTACTGTGAAATTCAAGATGTTTGCACAACTTATGATAAGTGCTCACAGGTAAATTGCCTGAAATTACACCTAGCACCTATTATCTGCTCAATTACTGTGCCTGTTGGAAGCCCAGTTCCCAGTCCCTTAGCATATGCCTACTCTAATGCAACATTGCTCCAATCAAAATGCACCACGGTAACTGTGATATCATCTCGGTAACTGCGCACATCAGGGTATGGTAGACTTAAGCTCATACTCACAGAAAAGTGATCTTCACCACCAAGGGCTTCCTTGATCAAACAAGAGGCTGAGTTTTTCAAATCCAAGATTGGTTCCCTGTCTTGGATTTCAGGGTCTAAATTGTGTTTTTGCAAATTTTCTTTTACAAATTCCACAGCTTCTTCATTGCTAAGCATATCCCATAAACCATCAGTGGCAAGAATAAGAAATTTGTCTGTGCGTTGTAGCTGGTATGATGTCACTTCTGGTTCAGCAGCAAGGTAGGGTGGAGTAAGAAATTCTGCCATATCAGCAAATGATTTATCTCCTTTTGGATTAAACATTTCCTCTTGTTTTTCCTTGCTCCATTTGAATCTCACATCACCAAATGCTCTTAATGGAGCAAGGCGGCCTAAAAGTCTTTCATATTTGAGAGTAGTGGAAGCCTCTTCTGGTGGGTGTTCACTCAGTACTCGTTGAACTTCCCTCGGATTGCCTGACAGAGCAAATGTGAAATCATTAATTACAGACTAAAATTACCTAATGTTTAGGAATTAAGCTTTTACAACCTAATATTGGCATGTGCATTCCCCATGTTGTTCTCTACACATTTCCTATAGCACTGATAAGGAAAACTAAGCTGAAAATCACCAGCTGTATAAAATTGTAATCATTCTAACCTTCAGTTTTAATGAGCCTAAGTTTGATTCTCCAGTGACACCTTAGTGAGAAGTTAGAAGCTAATTACTCTCTGAGGTTAAAGGGTTAAACAAACTGTACAACAAAACACTTTAAAATCAAGATTGTAGTTTGCTTTTGGGGAGCTGTTGGCACAGAAGGCCAAAAACCATCTGTTTCTATGACCAGCTGATGGAACGAGTGGGTTAGAGATGACAACCCTATATACTCTCAAATAAACTTTTTCATTATTTAGCATTATGAAAAGTTAAGTCCTATATTAATCACCCAGACAGTTATTGATAGAGTACTAATGTGATTCATTCAGGCAAAGAAGGCTTTAACCCTTTCACTGCATGAATGACCTAGAAGTAACAAGTAGATACATGCAGATTATGAGGTGCAAATGTTATCTGGGGGACACCGTTTGATTTCAAACCAAATTCTCAGAGACAACTACAGAAGAAATGTTTAACCCATACAAATCAATTGCAACAGGCCTTCACACATCAAACATGGGTCAATGACTAAAAAAAGAAAACACACTCAGAGATCCATAATGAAATTAAAAAGCATTACAATGGATACTCTGCATCACAGACTGGCTCTCTCCCAATCACTAAAGTAATCTCAGAGCTCATAGTGACAAAAAAGGTCAATGAGCTGACTGGATGGCAGTCTTGTCAACAAAACAAAATTACACTTACGGGCTGTATGATCAGTAGACAGTTGTAATGCTGACCACTGCCCATCCTCACTTTGTACACCAAGTACTGCACGACAGTCTCCACAGTTGGCTACAGTAAGTTCAGTTCCCTTCACATATGCCACCAAAGCACAAGCTCCTGAGGTAGCTGCTTTAAATCTGTGTTCTTCTGCTTCTTTGTTCTCCCCTTCAATCGATGCTTCATAACTCAAATCTTCATCTAGTCTCAGAAAAGCTCTAGAAATAGCCCCCATTGTCTGAGAGACTTGTTCCTCTTTTGCATCTACAACTGCTCTCTTGTGTCCATGAGTCTCCTGAAGGTGCACAAAAGTAGGAGCCATGGTTCCACTGACATCATGTCTCTTTTGTATCCTACGCAGCTCCAAATAGTAAGCTTTAAGACTTTCATAGCAAACAGGATCCTCCCTGTAATTGTAATTATTTGGGGAGTTTGATAGAAGGAGGTGCTCGGAGCAAAGAAACTTCTTCAACATTGGTCCCAAAAGAATTTCATTCGGAAGCAGCGACAGTCCTATGTAGTCTGAGAGGCGTTGAGAAACATTATGAGCACAGCTGCTTCCGCCGTGGCCATCCAAAACACCAAACAGAAAGGCATCTCTGTCTTGCAGTAATTTGGTCACAAACCTTCGATCCTCTGTTGGATTATTAGATGGCAACAAGTTTGATTCGAATTTGCTTACAATTCCCAGCTGAAGTTTACCTGCAAATTCATTTTCTGTTATGATATCCCTAACTTCCTCATCGGACATCATCCACGGTTCTTTGTAACTGTTACGAGTATTCATTTTCAAGAAGTTCGCGTGGGCTTGAGGTCTGATGCACGAAGAAGACTGCCATAAAGCTATACCACCATGATTAGCAAGCCCACGATATGAAAGAACAGTTGGTCCTCTTCGACTCCAAAAATCCTTCGCTTTTCTTTCGACTCTGATGCTACTGAAATGTTCAGAGAATGACTTCTTGACTTCTGAAAAATACGTCGAATTCGAACGTTGAACGACTGGTGGTCGTGGAAGTCTCTTAATGATTCCAGTAATCGACGAAATAGCTGACATGTTTGTCAAGTCTTGCAGTAAAGAACTAATCCACTTTAAAATTACGCTAGTTCAGCAATCACCAAAAACTTCACATTTTCATGCATTAAGGTATTTTACGAAGTCTTGAAATTATAATCCATGTGCCAACAATGTCAACAATATCGAACTCTGGTATCTTAATGATTAGATTGCTCGTTCTATCATTATACTACGTTTAGAGTTGCAGACCGTTCTTGTCGCAATCAGCAATTAATTCCAAATTACGCAATTAAGTCTGAGAATGAGCTCACAAATAGAAACAAACTAATGCAACCAAGGAAATTGTTTTACATAAACTCAGCCGCCATGTTGATTGATTAATTACCCATATGCCTTTGCCGTAAACTAGTTCTCAGTTCCTTCGGGTACGATTGTTGCGAACAATTAGATTTGCGCTTGGTCGTCCCAAAGCAATGTAATAGAACTGGAAAACTCCACTAACTGTTTAAAATGCAACTTTCCCAAGGACTGGACACCAAAAGCCTCATAACTAATCCAGATATTCTCTTATTTTAACAGTCTGGTTATTTGACTGAAAATTAAACACTTTTTTATTGAATCTGTCAACTTGAGTCATGTTTACCAAATTCCTCATACTTAGGGTCAATAAAACTCTCGGTTAACACACTAAACAACTCTTCTATTTAAACCGTCCTCGCAGATCAAAACGTAAAACGCCGAGACTGTTAAATTATTTTTATTTCCGTCTCTCCTCTAAGTAATAACTTTACTGTATACCACAAAGCTTTTTCAATTCGGCAAGTTTTCACTTCTATCAAGAATCTACAATCTTCTCTTTCATTTGTAAACGAAAAAAATTCTGCTCATCTACTAGATAAAAAGAGACCGAATATTTCCAATCAAATTCTCTGAAAAGCGTTTCTATTTCCCATTTGTTTAGCTTTAAATACTAGTTGTACGAAATAAAATAAAACGACAACTCGAAGAAAAGAACGGGTACAGTCGAAAATTTAGAACTCGTTTAAAACCAAATTAAAACGCCAGTGAACAGCCCTTCTCTAATCTCGTACCCAGATCTTACCGTGTAACTACCACTTGACCGTGAAAGGTCTGGGACGAGACTAGCCCTTCACCTCAACATCCCTAAAATCCTCTCCACACCCCACTGCGAGAGGAGACATAAGATTTCTCTTTTTCAAACTTTATAAACTTAAAACTGGGGTATTTGGTGTTTACATAGTCATTAAATTAAATGGTATCAGGGGAGGCAAAATTGAACCTTACTTCAAGTGGCAATTTCCATGTATTGCCAAAATTAATGCACATCGTAAGAATGACGCAAGAACTAACAAAATACTGACTACTGTTAGGAGTCTAGATCTTCAAACTAACCAGGCACTAACATCACTCATGAAGTCCATTTCCATTTGCAACGAGAAAATATTTTGAGTTTAAAATACTGTGCTTATATCTAAATAATCTTATTCTATGATTTGACACCATTTGTCAGAGGCAAAGGTTCTGGGTTTTCCATCATTCTCTTCATGGCAAAGATTGTGTACACAGCCCCCCTGAGCTTCCTTTTGGCGTTAAAAGCACTTAGATGATCCAGAGTCCCCTTCCGATGAGCCGTAGATAACTTTCTATTTTGGGTCCACGGATCTTTCACAAGTTCTGTCGCTGTCACTCGTTCATTTCGATCGACCATGAGCTGTTAAGAAAGAAGTAAGAGCGTATGTCAAGAGGTCGAAGTTAAGATTCTATCGCCCGGCATTAGTAATTATTACATGAATAACCGTTCGGCAAGCCGTCCAAAAAAAATTGCAATAGTAATCATCACATATTACCGCAAAGCTTGGAATCAAGATTCGATCAAGATCTCTTACCATGCCTTTTAGCAGCCGCTTAGCACCATCAGATATAGATTTCCACTCTTGATCTGGAAAATTATATTTTCCAAGCGCAATAACTCCGAAGAGTTCACCTCGATTTGTGCTCCAGAAAGGAGGGTAACCAGCCTTCAAAGAAACATTTTGGTATTAAAATAAGTTAAGATATGTTCAGGGCAGTGTCAACCAGATATTGAAGACAACGGCAACGGAATTACATTAATCAGTTGACAAACTATCAAAGATATCTTTACTGATTTAATGTATGCCTATACGTGGAGTAGGAAATGCTACAAATCATACAAGTGTTATCCAAAAACTATATAAAATCATATTTTATTTATAAACATTTCCTCCTATTTTACAGTAGTCAGTCTAAAATGAAAGACGATTTCTTCTAGTCCAACGAATCGAACAAGCTCAACTTTTCATGACCGAGCTAAATAAGAAGAAATCTTACACATCCACACTCGTCTCGATTTATAATGGTAATAGGACTACAAATGGAGTTCAATTTGGTCTGTAATCATACGAATGATTGACAAAATCGGGCGACAGCGAAGCGGGAGTCCGATTTGTTAATTGCGAGTAATATTAAAGACAGAATTAGACGAGATGAAGCCCTGCTACCAATTAATCAAAACTTTGGCGAAATATGAGAAAGATATAAGACATCAGCCATACGCTTTCATAAACAAAGACAGCTAACTCGGCGAAATTGGCAACGAGTAAGCATGACGCACGCACTGCCCACTTACACAGAAATGACGTGTCAACTATCCTGCTGCACTATCCAATTACAAGCATGACACGTACACTGTCCTAGAAGTGCTTAAATCGGGCTGGTGATAACCAATCCAATCACGTTCAAGAATTTTGTTAAAGTACTGATTAAGGTTCGAATACTAACCAGCATTGTATAGAATATCACAGCGCAAGCCCAAATGTCTACTTCCCTACCAATTGGTTGTCTAGTCACTGTTTCGGGGGCAAGATATAATGGAGATCCCTCTATTGGACAAGAAATGATGTCGGAATGTTCTGGAAGGCAAAAAATAACAACCAAAAAAATCAATACTACACTGAATAAAGTAAGCACCACGTTAATATTTGGACGTCATGTAATGAAGATCAAGTTTAGCTTTGAATATGTGAGGCTTAATATCTACGAGAGTGCAGATGCACAGAAAGAGTTACGAGTGACTAAATTAAAATGAACACGCCTATTGGACCTGAGAAAGTGTACCAAATTTTGAAGAATTTAGCTTGTATCAGGGACTCAGACATCCAAATACTACGTTGATCAAGTCTCTTGAAGGAAATTAGGGAGTTGGATGGTAAACGCGTAAAACTCTGGATTGGGAGATTCAGGCTCGAGCCCTGCTTGGCTCATTGTGTTTTGATCTTACTTGAGACATTTTACACGCTTAGTGCTTCTCATCTCTTACAATCAGTGATTTATTGACGCCTCGTCCAAGAAGAGAATAGTCGGTTCATGCGTTTTAAAAATATTGACAAAATCTCTACTCAACTCGAGAAAAAACGTCACCCTATACTTTGCCTTTTTTCGTTAAAAGTGGAAAACACAATGACCCCGAGCTTTGGCGTACAATCAATAAAATTATGCTCAAGACAGAATTTCACGAGGCCATTCTGTCAAACTATGGCAAGAGTTGTCCTTCACTTAACTTATGTGGTAACAAGAGATTAAATTCTCTTGGTAGTAAGCTATACAAGTCGATCGCGATTAATCCACTTCTTCAGGTTTTGTTTCTCACACCTGGTAGTTTTTTGGCCAAACCAAATCCGCTGAGCTTCAGTGGAGGGAAATGATTGTTGTTTTCCGCTGACCTCCAGGTAAGAATAAGTTTTTCAGGTCTGATATTCTGCAAGGAAAGTTCTTGTTTAAAAGGTTTCATCTCTATACACACAACTTAGAACATTTACAAAAAATAAAAAATAAAAAAAAAAGTTGATGGCGGAAAACTGAATGGCATACCCTATGTACAATTCTGAGCCCGTGGATGTATTCCACAGCAGTAAACAGCTGTAGCATCGCCTCACGTGCCGTGCTCTCTGAGAAGGCATTTCTGGATACCAGGTCCTCGAAAAGCTCTCCTCCAAACGCCAGTTCTAAGACCAAGTAGTATTTGTCAAAAGCAGGATAGCAGTGATGAAGCTTAAGAATGTTGTGATGATTAAGTTCATGGAGAATCTGCGAAAGAATTCGATTTTAAGTAAAAAGGAACAAAACTTGAAAACTTTATCGGTTTAAAATCTAGGAGGCTAGAATCTATAAAATCTATAGACAAGAGCTGTTGTTATATACCTAGACTTTCACTAAACAAAACGAGCACTGTGAGTGGTTGATTCTTGGTCACGTGCCCTTGATCAAATTCAAATGTATCTCGACCAGGATACAATCGCGCAGTTGTTGGCCGCGCGCCGAATACAACAGCACATGATTGTTTAAGGTAAAGTCTAAATATATAGCGAAGCAATTAATGTATAGTCCCGAGGGAGACCAGTTAGTTTTGTTTTCCTTCGAGTCCTGATGTTTCCCGGGACGAAGTTGAGGGAAACATCAGGACTCGAGGGAAAACAAAACTAGATGTTTCCCTCGGGACTATACATTAAGTGTATAATGAACACGTTAAACTGGAGAGAGAAGGAACTGCACACTACCACAGCGCCAAATATGTAAAAAGGCATGTGTAAGGCCGTATTGGAAACAGCAACGAGCTTTAAGAACAAGTTCAGAGAAGCCAATGCAGTTGTTCATATTTTGTTCTTGTCTGTTGGCTTTTTAACTCAATTAAAAAACAAACAAGTCAGAGTTAAGAGAGGAAGGAGGGGCTCATTTACTCTTTTTTCTCATTCCATCTCCAAATTCTGCATCTATCTTACATGTGTCTCTTGATAATACAACCTTTTTTTCAGGGACGGCAGCCTTTATTAATTAAAACAATGTCGTCCACTCCTGATTCTGAGCGGTACAAAGACATCAGTATCCGATAGAAGAGTCATCAGCGACATTTCTATATTTACTGAGGTCTTAAATTTATAGTGGTTATTACTGACAAAGCCGCCCAATACAGACCATTTTAATCCAAGTAGATCCGGCCAATTCGTTCACTGGCGTTTTGCCATCAAGAGGTGAAAAAAATATGATTGTTGAAATTCATCACAGCACTAGTTTTTGTCATGATTTTAAGTGCGGTGTGGTTTTCACTCGTTATCATTAAAAAAAAAAAAAAAGGTAGCAGTCGTACAAAGCTCTACGCACAAATTGGATCCTCCTCACGTTTCGTGACCGAGAACTATTTTTCATAAATGAAGCGGATCTTGTTAGCATATTTTGATTACCGGTTTGTCAGACGTAATAAACATCAACTCACTCTTAATGACTGCAGTGATCACTCGAGTTCAAAAGGCCAAGTTTCCGCGCTGTTTAATTTGCTGATATTGCTCACGTACTTGTCAATCATAAAATCAGTTAGCAGTGTTTGAAATGTAGTTTAATAGTGTATGCGGAAATTTGCACTCATCTGTTAATTATTTTCCGGTTTTGTGCCGTGCGTCAAACCAAAATATATGAATTGACCTTGCATGTTGTTTGTGAGTATTATTGCGCTCTTTACAATAAGACCTAATTACACTAAGACATGGTGAAAAACTTCTGTTAAGTTACCGCTTTAAAGCATTAACTTTTTAAGTTTGTGGTCCATACAAGGTATTTTATGAACAAGTCCGATCCTAACCCGAAAGTCATACGAGTTCGTAGAAGAATGAGAACTAAACGTCATAACTAAACCCAAAGAAATCTGGCTTTACCATTTATCGATATGCAAACATAGAAAAATAAATTTGTACAACAATTGAACGAATTGAGTCTATTTGGCACCTCAGGAATATAGGTTTTTTTTTCATAAGAAACTGTGGTGTAGCATTGGTGGGGGATATTGTAAAATGATTTGGTTTTATCAAATGAGAATTGGCCACCGCGGACATATTGTAAAGATGACGTTTCGAGCGTTAGCCATCCGTCAGAGCGAAGGGCTAACACTTCAGGTATAACCGCCAGAACAATTACGTAGACTCAAAGCTTCGAAGAAATTCTTTTCTTTTTTTTTCGCTATCCTTTGTCATTGTAAGCGGCCCTCTCTCGTACATTCTTTCTGATTACACTTACGATAAACGAAGTAAGTATATCCAGGAAGGCGTCGATTCTGTACTCACCGCGGTTAAGCACCGCTTCTGATGCTCACCTCGATTTCATGTTCAATTCTCTCCCTCTGTTCCTGCGTGTCACAGCTAATTTCCTTCACGGCGAAAGCTTGTCTCGTCCGTTTATCGATGCATCTTTTGATTTCACTAAAAGATCCCTGGCCCAAGATTTCCCTAACATCAAACTGACAGACGAATTCCATAACTTGCCTCCTTTTGCAGTCTTTCAATTCGGTCGCTCCATCTCAAATGAAATCCATGCATAAGGATGTTATCGGGTTAATTCAAGATTGAAAACTCGAAGATTAACTTATGATTATTGTTTTTAACGATGGAAGGCAGAATACAAACTGTGGTTCGCAATGTTTCTGCTTTCTATCGAATTAACTCTTGCGATCGTTCGTCCAAGGAGGAACGTGCGCCGCCGACAGACTTGTTAAAGCGAGCTAATTTAATAGTCATTCAAAAACCATATGTCAAACCACAACTCATAATGAAGTAGTAAATAATATTTGATTTGGTTCACCAGTTAAGTACAATGAAATTTTAAACTTAGCATAAACAGCTCGTTTTTATTGAGATGATAGATGGTTGCTGCTTACATAGCTGGTTGTCGAAGCTCCGACGCTGCAGGTGGTATTTTTCAAATAGAAATCTACTCAGGTTTTCATTAAAACGAGCTAAGTAGGGCGGCCTGAAATAGTTTCTTTCCAATCATCGGAGGAACATATTGAGTGATAATTTCAAGTTGATATTACGCTTGTTGCATATCCGCGCGAGTGCTAACCTCGTTCCCATGGTCCCCTCTCTCCCTTCCTCGAGGGAGGAAGAGAGAGGATTCAAAGAACGAGGTTGCACGAGTGTCACGCGTGGTTTACATCATTTGGTGACGTCTTATGGCGTCATTGTGTATCTTGTTTCCACGACGGCAAGTTTTTTCATAAGCTTTTGCTGAACAATTAATATTTGCCGTCGTTAGAAGTTACAGAGCCAGTTCTCATTCTCACAGGTTAAAAATGAAATCCATTTTTTGCAGTCATCATCCGCGAAACTTGAATTTTGATGCGCGAAAAATTTTTGAATTTCACTTTTTTACCTATGCGGTATACTAACTACGCAGTAAGTGTAATCAACCTGACACAATACTGATGAAAAGCCGGCCCGAAACGTGCGGAAGACACAACAATGCAACGTAATGGCCCAATTTTGTTTTATGAAAACTAAACAATTCTGAGAGTTGTATAGCTCTCATGATTGTTCCATTACGACTAGATTTGCCACAAGTGAGATTCTCCGCCACTCATACAGGCCATTTCCTCCTATTTCTTACCACCCTACTAACTATTCCAGTGGGCCAAATAAATTCATGTATTTACAAGTTCATCTAGATGAGTATGTGAAAGTTTCTGAGGGCATGTATAAGGGTATATATGAGTATGATGTAAAAAAAAAATGAGATTCTACGAGTGCCCTGATTGGTAAAAAAACCCATCGTTTTACTCTGGTAAACCCCTGTGATTTACAAATGATTCTCGTGTTTTTCCATTAAAACCGATAGAAAGTTCTGAGAAGGAAGAGGAGAAAGGTAAGGCAGGGTAAAGAGAGAAAGAGAGAAACGAGTACATTCCATTACTAAGTGTAGAAAATTGAAAGGGTTGAAAATTTACAAAACAAATAGTTCAAACCCCATCTCATTTAAAGTCAAATAGAGCGTTCCTAAATCTATCTTTCTCTACACTAACCATGCGCGCACATATCGCCTGCATATTTTTCACGGAAATCAAGCTCTTTTTACTAATTTGTGTTTAATTTATGAAAATCCTTCCCTAGCAAAATGATACGGTTTCAACGAGTTTTCTTAAAAACAATTAATAAAATAAACCTTTTAACTAAGTTAAAAAATTGGAAAGATATGTTTGTATCACAATGTCTATGACGACGTAGTTAGCTACGGCCTCTTGGTTAATAGTCGACACTTTTCTTGTCTAAGAAACGTTCTTCGGCGAAACATCGACCTGAGAGGTTTACAATTACAAAAATACTTCAACTATTTCTTTATGTCCGAACAAATAAACCGTCCCTAAGAATCGTCATCAGGCACTCTTCGCCCTACTCTATCTCTTGCCCTTCCTTCTCCAGCTTTTACTTTAATGTACACAGAGCTTCTGAACATTCGCGATCTTCTAGGTTTCAAGTCTGTTAGAAGGTATTCCTTTGGCGATTTAGCTACATCATTGTCGCCTCCATTGACAGTTTCGTTAATTTTTTCAAGTCTTCTTTCTTCCTCGTGTTCTTTATTTGACAGCATTTCTTGCACCTCTTGTTCCAATTCTGGGTCAGGTGTATATGAAACCTTCCGCGTTAAACGAACTACGTTTTGGTTAGGTGTGAAAGTTAGCCTGCAGTAGAGAACAATATTGCAAAAAAACTTCAACACTTCCACTCCCAAGATCTCATCAGTAATTCTCCTTACTGTCTGCCATACAATTCTCATGTTGTCATTTCGGAGAATTTAGTATTGAATCAACTAAACTCATGAGTCACACCCCCGAAAATCATATGATCCCTCTAAAAATCCTCCTTCCCCACCCCCCGGTCCTCAGACTGGTTCCTTATTCCCAAAATTGTGGATCTAAGCACCTAGCTTATGAGGAGATTTGGCATGCAGACGACAAAAGGTCCACTGCTGACTTACCTGTTCCTGGCAATAAGCCCCAGCACCACTCCCTTGAGTTTTCTTCTTGCATTAAAGGCTGTGAGTCGGACGAATGTCGTTTCCTTATGAAGAGAAGGGACGAAATCACCTTGAGAAATCCAGTCGTGACGAAGAGCTTGAGAAGCTGTTATTCTGTCCTCAGGATTCACTGTTAACTGAAAGATGGCAAGTTGATTTTAATGAAAAATCTGGATTCAAGATGTTAGAATGAATATAGTGTTAAAAACAGACAAATTGAGTAATCAAGCCTTAAGTTCTTCGCGCCTGTTATACTTCGCCTTAATTTGTACGATGAGAACCTGCTGGTGAGCTCTACTATACAAGGTTCAAGGCCAGGCCCTATACTAAAATTCGCAGTTATCTGGATCTGAAGTTTTTACAAAGAGGCAGAATATCGCGCTTAAATCTCGAAAGCTTACATGTACATCTTAAACGGACTGTTTAATGCCGGAACGACCAGGTCTTGAACAGCCGCACATCAATAAACATGCACTGTGCTTGGCATGAGCAGATTTGCTTTTCAGAAGCCGTCTTACCATTTTGCTTATGAGATCCTTAGCCGAGTCGGAGACTGAGTCCCAGTATGGAGAAGGAAACGAGTAGTTCCCTTGTAAAATGCTAAGAAGGAGAAACTCGACTCTCTGATTCCAGAATGGGGGATACCCAACCTAAAAACGTGACAAAAGGAAATTTTGTGAAAGTATGTCAAAAATCCTTTACTGTCCTTTATCCAGGCTGCATGAAGGCCTATTTCGTTTTTCCCTGTGTTTTTACAGCTAACAAGTCTTGGTTCATGAAAACGTAGATGAAGAGCCAGGCCAATATTCAGGAACCTTGAAAACTTAGTTTGTTATAATGAAATGCGTCAATTCTCGACCACTATGTGATTTCTGCAGGTCGTGATACTTACAAGTAGTAAATAAAGGATGACACCGCAGGCCCAAATGTCTACAGCACCATTTACTGGCCTCTCCATTATAGTCTCTGGTGCAAGGTACATTGGTGAGCCGCTACCGTGGCAATCAACCATTTGTCTTCCGTCTAAAGAGAAATTTAAAAAACAGTTTGCAGTTATATTCAACTGAGTGTCCAAAGAAATCTGGGATTGCATTGGTTTTACCTCAGAACCGTCTGTGATTGGTCTAGGAAAGCATTCCATTAACCAATCAGAAGAAAAATCAAACCAACCGCGACTTGGTCACACCCGATTTCCCGCGCTTTAGGCCATATGCATCTATGTATTTTGATCTATGATTGGCTCTTTGTTCTCATTGCGGTCTGTTTTGTTTTACTGCGGTTTTCAATAACAGAATACAGTTTTTATTTACTATTTCATGAAAGCAATATTTAATTCACCTTGTATCCTTTTTGCAATTCCAAAGTCTGTGAGTTTGATAATCGGTGGACGGTCCACTTCTGGTTTCTCGGCCAACAAGAGATTCTCTGGTTTCAAATCCTACAAAATAAGAGGGAAACAATTCGACTAAGAGCTCGAGGCCTTGAAGCAAGTTCCAGGCCTTCGGTTGGTAAAAAAAACCGCCATGGTGAACTGCGTTTTTGTAGCGGAGGAGTTAAAAAAAGAAAACAGAGAGTTTAGGGTGGGGTCGGGTCGTATATTAAACTTTTAATCCTCAAACTGGATAGTTTTAAAGAACCTTTGAGCAGCTAACAATTTCTGTGACCTCATTGGCCAATTGCACTTGGAACAAACCGCGAATGTCGTCTTTCCAGCGCTTTACGCAGATCGTAATAATTTTTTCCTGAGTCCTTCTCTGCAATCCACTGATATTGTACAGTATTTTTGCATGAGAGATATCGTACACATGAATTAAGCTTCTTTGTTTCTTTTTATGGAATCTAGTGTAAAGAGGTTGAATATTTAACTTTTAGGGATTCATCTTAAGGCATAAAGAATCAAGATCATAACAATCCTCACCCGATGAATAATCCCTTTCCTTGACAAATAGTGTAGTGCTCTGATGATCTGTTGGGCACAAGCGCATGCGTCCTTCTCGCTGTAAAAGGGTCTAGATACGAGTCCATCGAAAAGGTCCCCTCCAGGTAAGTATTCCAGCACCATGAGCACTTTTCCATCAGCGTAGAACACTTCTTCCAGACGAACTATGCTCACGTGATTTAGCTCTTCTAAGATCTGTCGTCAGATACGTACAAAAACAAAAGGTTATGGATACGAGTCAGCCATTTAGTAGCGGAAGCTTGCCAGACGAGTCCACGAATGTTTTTACTATTGATCTGATAGATCCTGTGGTAAAAGATCTACGATCTTTCTTTTGATCGCCCCGCTTTTTCGCAAGGCCCTACAAACTATCAGGAAGAGGAAAAAGCCACAGTATTTAAATAGGATAAGCTCGAGAAAGAATATGATCGTCCAGTCTTTCAATGCGGCACACCTGACGCGGCGTCTGCCTGCCGCAACAAAGAGACCGCCGAATGAAATTGCACAAGGGAGGTATCCGTCATGGACGTATGAACACTTTGAAAACAGATATGTGCGGCGAGCAATAAATGTTTCTGTACAACGTGATGAAGTAAGAACAATAGAAATAATTAAAATTGTAACGTTAAAAGTATAGGAGAAATTAAACCCACAATTATCAGTGCCATAACTGATAGTTTAGTGCTAATTGGGTTAAAATTACATGAAGATTGCTTTCACTCGTTTTGCAAATAATATTGTATCATGAGAGTCCAGCGGTTGCGTCGATTAAGAATATGATCTGCAACGCACGCGATTCAGTTAACTCTTTAAGATAAATTTTCTTGGAGTAAATATTTTTTGGAGTGAAAATTTCTGAATGCGAGGAGCATAATATGTTTGTATACATCCAAATGATTTTTAAATCGGCTTATTTCGAAGGCGATGAAAAACTCTAGCGAATTTTTTTAGTATTTTGACATCAACTATCTTCATCTTTTTTCCCTGGGTTCTGAATAATCGATCTATAATACACCCTGTTTTCCCGAGCAATTCACATAAATTCCTCGTACTTAAGCTTTCCAAATGTTTTAATCCTATTTGTAATAAACTTAAGAAAATAATTGGCAATCTTTACAGCAAAATCTAAACAGCCTCACCAAAAAATGTAAGTCACAAAGAGAGCCAACTGATGAGAGAGAACCAAATTAAAAATAAGAGAAAATTTAAAATGTGGAGAAACAGCTGCATTTTCAGTTTACATTTTACCATAAAAAAGCGACTACTTTTGATGTCTCAATAATGTCATATTCCGTTTGTTTCATGGTATTTCAAGTTGATATATTTTTTAGCATCACTCTGAGAAAAACAACCTGATGCCTGTTGGTTTAAAAAATGTTGGTGTAGAAAGCAAAAGCTGTTGTCACAAGAAACATTTAATGATGCGTTAGCTGACAGGCAAAAAAATGGTGAAGTTTTTTAGACACATCAATCAAGTGTACATAGTTATTCAACTGAGCTAACGGCTAGAAATTGGACGGAATCTCAACAAAGCAGTGTCAGTTAACTGTAAGAGACCTCAAAATACAACTGAATATTTCACACGGTATTTTAGCGCTAAAATAAACAACAGAAACGAAGAGGGCGCACGAATTGCTAAGAGTTTTGCCGCATCCCATCTAAGTTTTGAGTTTTATCTGAGAAATATTATGTTTATTACGCGATCAACCACTATCTGTGATTGCATCACACTGATGCCATTTCTTAAGTCGATACCTATAAATGTCTACTAAGCGAAGTATAAATGAACAGCCTAAAACACTCTTACCTCCGACTCATTTTCTACTTTCTCTCTGTGTTCTGCATCTTCATAATGAATTTCCTTCACCGCGTACAGCTGTAGTGTCTTACGATTGACGCATTTCTTCACTTCAGCAAACGACCCTTTCCCGATGAGCTCCTTGATTTCGTAAACGTCTTCGAACTTCATGTTTCGTTTGGCCGCAGGAAATTAACGAGCTAGCTGTTCGATCTTATCCACTGCGATGGGAAAAAGGACAAGTCGTTGGTGCAACTCAGAATGGACAAGTGCGAACATTCAAAGGAGTTTTTCTTAGTTCGCGAGCAACATCAGGTGATTAATACTCGAAGAATGTAGCTATCGGAAATAAAGCCATGCACAAGTTTACACTGTCCCTGATTTTCTCGAATATATTAACACATTGCTCTTTTGTGCGCGTAAATGTTCGCTTTTGATTGATTGACAAAGCCTTAAACAAAAATCAAAAGAGTTGTTTGTTAAGTGAACAAATATAAATGACAGCAAATGCCAAGTTCGTCGCCCATATGAACTCACATCCTTTTTTTAAGACTCCTCGCCTGATTGCAAAACACTTCATCAGCACCATGTTTTAGTTCCACTACAGCGTAGGATCCCACAAGCATTAAAGAATGCTTTAATTTCAAAAAAGGGCAAAATAGTGATAAGTGTAGAGAAATTATCTTGAAGCTGTCAAATGGAGTCGGCTCTAGTTTTGAAAGCCACCTCTAATTTGAATTTTATTGCTTCATTCGGCTTTTGTTCTGGCACAGAGCATTATTACAGATTTTTAATTCTCTGCGATTTGATTAAAAGTTCAAACAAGTTGTGTTTCAAGCAGCCGCAGCGCTTCTTTAAAATCACATTAAGCTCCAGACCGAAATTAATTATTACAGAGGAGCAAATTAATCTGAGGAGTTAATTACAAAATAAAAGCGAAGCTGACGGACAGTTACAAAAATTAAGTGCGCAAAAGAAAAAAAATAGTTGCAACCAATTTTCCACAAGGAACGAAGGCGCTTCTCGAGAGATCATCGAAAATCGACCTAACAGTAAAACTGACTGGCGGTAGCTACAATCCGAAATTCACATATTTCAGTTAAGCGAGGGACTTGGGGCAGAGACAACCGACTGAAATAGTTAGTGTGCATACGCAGTCTTCGAAAGGAAAGCGGTTCTCCTCTACTGTCAAGAAAAAAAGTAACAACGTTAATAGCCCGTGTGTCACTGGTGGAATCGTTCGCTTTAAGTAAAAATTTGGCCAAACCGTTTACATAAAGTGTCAAAGAAGAGCAAGGCAGTTCTCGGGCGACTTGCAAAGATTGTTAAAGCGCAATTCTCTATCTTAAAGTTGCTCATCCAAGGAGCAAATCCCATGAAAGTCAAAACCCTTAGCTATACAAGCTAGAACAATTGCATTTTCTGTCAACGAAGTCATCATTTTGTTGGCTTTCAGTTTTAACGTCAGTCATCACTACCGACAACGGTCTTTCTCAGGACCACCCTCATCAGACAATCAAACAATGCGATCAAATGTTACCCCTGGGGTTAAACCATTTATCACAAGTTAAGACTTGCCCAATCATGTACAAAGAGTGGACAAAATGGTACGTGACAACAAAGGAAATATCGATCATTGGTAGTTAAGGACCAAAAAATACCTTTTTTAATTTTAAATTACCGTGGAAGTTAACGAAAGTGTTTGTGTCGCGAAATTTGTGTGCAGACTTGAATCCTTCCAAAAAAAGAAAATTGCGCTGCGAAAAGACAAAATAGTTCCAGGAATTGATGTGAAGAGCAAGTTATTCTTTGTGGCAGATACGAGAAACCTTTCTTTCATTTGAAAAGTCCACAGAGGAGGTTAAGTGTGTCCTTCCCTTTTATTGCCTTAACGATGTACCGTCCCTCTTCCTATCGTTTGGACGGTTTGTTACAAAACGTTGTTGAAATACTTAGAAATAAATCCAATTCCCCATCTCTAATAACGTTTCTATTCACTACTCATTTCCTTTCACTTCCTTTCTTGGACATGATTACCAAACATACCAAACCATAGGAAAAAAGTGCACTGTGATTACTGGGGAATACCTGTTATATCAATCATTCGTTTTCTAAAAACGGTATCCTGTTCTCTAGTTTGAATATAAACAATCTATATGACCTCTTGTTCTCCACAATAATTGCTTTCTAGAACTTCAACAAACAGTAGCAAGGAGCAGGGACCTTGCTTTTTCCATCCAGTTCCTCCAGTTCAACGATCAAGACACACTCTAACACTTCCCCACCAGCATCTTTCACCAGTTGACAAGCTGCTTGTAGAGTGCCTGTAACAATGTTTAAAATTCTTATATCAATTTGTTTACTGTCTTGTTTAGTTACAAGAGCAATTCAAAAGTAATACCAAACATGATTGCTTTTGGCTTTTCTTTACTTTTCTCAGTAATTGGTCCAAAAGGCTTGCACCACTTTCTCAAACAATCAGGTTTAAAATTAAAACTAATTTGCAACTTGGTCAGTTTTCTTGTTTCAAATTCAGTTCTGATTGGCTCCTTGTGCTATTTTCCTTCATTCTGATTGGCAGTTGTGGTTTTACTTTGGTTAAGGTTCTTCACTCAAATGAAATCTATGCTTAACCCTTTCACTCCCGAGATCTCACCATTAATTCTCCTTACTATCTGCCATAAAAATTTATACAATGTTAGCTTGGAGAATTTGGTATTGGATCAACTAAAATGCCCTTATATCTATTTTTTGTTATTCTCATCACTTGTGTGCTTGATATTGCACTGACAATGTCAAGAGAAATTCTCTCTTGGTCACTCATGGAAGTTAAAGGGTTAACTCTATGATTCTGTTTGTCTGAAAAAAACTCATCTACCAGTCTCAAAAAAATCAGAATTAAAACTTAGATCTATCACCACATGGTCACTTTTGTTTGCCCACACCTAAGGGTTTTATCGGATTACTTTGTGTTGGTGATACAACACTTACTCCAAATGTACTCTTTATGAAATATTCATTCCTTACCCCCTGTGGCAAGCAGGTCATCAACTATGACAACTTTTTGGCCTTTCTGGATGCCATCAACTTGCATCTCAAGAACATCCTAAAAATGAAAACTGATTATTAAATAAATATTCATATTAGCATGAATTTGGTTGGATGACAATTTCTCAATCATAGGAAAGTGATAATCACTTTACGACAAGTGTAAGAAGTGTGGTGTGGTGGTTAGCTTTCCAGACTTCTGCTACACACATCTGTGTTTGAGTTTGTTTGGTTCCCAGCAAGACTCCTACAAACTCTTATGATGAAATTGCAACTCACAATAAAAATGTCAATGTTTTTCTTTTCCCTTTCTTTTTTCTTAGTGTTACTGACACATAGACTAGTCCTACCAGTCATGAGCAACATAGGTTACAAAAACCTTTGACAGCACACATTAAAATTTCTTTTTTTTAATTCTCACTTTGCCATATTCTTTTGTTGAAGAAACCTTCACTGTTGGCCCAGGCAATTTCCCAGATTTACGGACTGGGACAAAAGGCAAATTTAGATTCAGAGACAAAATAGGCCCAAATAAAAACCCTCTGGCATCAAGACCTGCAAAATATACAGCAAAAATCATAAAAAGATAAACAGAAAATATCTCTGATAAGTTTATAAGAGCATAACAAAATCTAAAAATATTGGCTTGGAAGTTCCCTTTTCTTCTCATCTCCTTATAAACCAGACTTGAGAGCATTACAACAGAACTTTACATAGACAACTTTTTTATTCCAGTATTCAGTTTATTTGCTTTGCCGAGGGACCATGAGGCTTGATGAGTTTCAAGTAGGCCTCCTAACAAAACAATTAAAATTGCCAAAATTACAAATAAAATCACTCATAAATAACATTGTATCATTCTCTGAGATTTATATCAGAATATAATTTCAATCTCAGATACTAATGTCCTCTTAACAGGCTACTTTTCTCAGTGTGTGCCTGAAAGACACTTGACAGTCATAATACCATTGCCTTTTGTCTGAACTTTCCATATTGTAAGTGATGCATCCCCTGATACCTGACACTGTGCAATTAGAGCACTGGAAAAACTCCACTAAGTTCTAACATAAGAAGATTTTGCACGAACCCACAATAGCATCAACGCCTGCAAAGTTTGCCTTTATGTGCTCAGTCAAGATGTCAGTAACTGTCCTCAATGCATTGCAATCGTACAAAACAGGGCAGATGTCCCTGAAGGGAAAAAAAAACATTCAGGATTAGATTAAATGTGATTTTCGTTTGGTTCCCGCTCAGTTCCATTCTTCATTATGCACACTATTATTGGATAACAAAAACGATAATGAAAACAATAGATTGCCTTTGGGATTACGGCTTTGTTTTGGAATAGTATGATGTTATTCGGAAATGTTTCCGTGATTTTTTTTCCTGCGCGGAAAACCCCATCTACACGTCACACGAGGAGATCGAATGACGTCAAATGTGAGGTGTATGTTACTGCCATTAACTAAACAAATTTAAGCCCGTCTTGAACCGGTTGGACACAATTGAGAGTAAGTTTAAAATTTTGTTTCGATTTGTGTAGCTAAATCAGCGTATTCTGCAAATAATTCAGCGCATGAGGTGTACTACACCAGCGAAACAAAACGTGGAAATATCCGTCACAACATTTAAAAGAACAGTACCACTCTTGAAGCACCAAATGAGTTAGACATGTACTGTTTGCCGCTTGAGTGATCTTCTCCCAACAAATTTGCATATCTTAATTTAAGAAAAAACTTACCTAAAAATGATTCCAGGTATAGGAAAGTCTGGGAAAGGTCTGATGAGTGATTTAACGTACTCTAGAGCCTTTTCCTGATCGCTGTAGTTTCCCGAACTTGCCATGTTACAACGCAAAAGTAAAACCGGGCAACACTCGAAGGAGTCTGGCGACTAGATTCCAGTTCTCCCCGATCATGACAAATTTCAGAAATGCTGGAAAATTTTTTGACACAGGTTATAACGTTGTAATTCCTCAGTTGGCATTAATGCAGATACACTCTGAAGACCTTCCCAACCACCTCGCACAATTGCGCATCACTCACGAGTTACCACTGATAAATATCAAACTTTGGTGAATGAATTTACCAAGAAGTTTCAACAGCCAATCAGAAAATAGATGAGTTTCACAATTTCAAACAAGCTGCTTGAAGCTCCGGAAATTTAAGTGAGTTTTGGTTTTGTCGCAATTGGTATAGTCTATCACGTGACTGGTTGCCCAAGTTACGTGTTTTTTACCACACAATCACTAAGAGAAAAACAGAGCATTTTAACGATCATACAAATTCCTCAAGTGATACCCGAAAGAGCCACCCCTCCCTTTTTCCATCCTGTGTGAAGGATGGAAGGATAAACTGTTGAGATTCATATAAATCGAGAGACCATCATTTTATTGAGCGATTAAATTCACATAAAAGTAGGGCTCAAAGCCTATCATTGAAGCCTCTCATCATCTAGCTATCGCCTAGAGTTCCAGAAGAAAGTATCTTCGTCGGTTCGGCTGGTAAATACATCATCTCCTAAAGACGCCTTAAGGCTCTCCTGTGTCTATTAGTTTAACCAACACTCATTCCCAGCAGGGCTGCCCTGTCTGAATCGCTCTACCAAGGTAATGTCTTGCCAGTATAATCCAGGAATCCTCCATTCTTTGACTCGTCTAAAGAGCCGATGACTGTAATCAGCCCATCAACCGATTCCTTAATCGTTAGCGAAGCATTTGAACCTCCCATGTCCGTTTGAACCCATCCTGGATGTAACGCAACTGCCATGATCCCCTCGTCAGCTAGGTCGACGCTTAAAGATTTCGTAATCATGTTCAATGCCGCTTTGCTCGGTCGATATGGGTACATCGTACTCCACGTGTTATTTGTTATGGAGCCAGCTCCAGATGACATATTGACAATGAAAGTCTTAGAAGAATCGTCCTTGTTTCTTTGAGATACAGAACGGCGAAGAAGAGGCAAGAACGCTTTGGTCAACATCAACGGAGCAACGACGTTGGTTTTATAAACTTGAATCATGCCCTCAGCGGTTACAGCATCCAACTTACTCCTGTCCATAATTCCTGCGTTGTTTATCAACAAATCTAAACCGCGATTCTCTAATTTACTATCCACTTCTGAAACGACTTTATCGAAGCTCTCGATGTTGTTGACGTCCAATTCTAACATGTGAAGATTCGTGTTCTCTTCGCTGAGCGATTTCAGCTCTGAGGCTGTCTCTAAAGTTCGATAAGTGGCAAAGACATATTCTGGAGGATGGCAAAGGCTTAAAAATCGCTTGACGAGTGCTAATCCGATTCCCCGATTGGCTCCTGTTATGAAAACAGTTTTGAACGGCCATAAGGTACTGTTGCCGTCTCCCATGATGATTCCCACCGCACTCATGTAGTTTCAAGTGATGTCACATAAAACATTTCTCTTTCTTTTATTTCTCTCTTATCGACGGGGGGCGGGAAGGGAAGATGAAGATATCGCGTTTTAACTGAGACACTCTCATTTAATGTCGACTCTATGAAAATTTTTCGCAATAAAAATGGATCATTTGTGGTGTTTCATATGAATTTGGTTGTTTTTTTTTGTCGTTCATTTTACATTCCCTATTTAAAACGGAGCACAAACGTATACGAACACCACCCCCTACCGGATATTAATGTTACCTGGAATAGAGGCTGCAAAGCATATCGGGTAGATCAAAATGGCGGTACAAGCAGCAGCTCAAAGCTACAGAAATCTGTCTTTGAATGATATTTTTGGACAAAGGAGGGGAGCATCAAGAGATGAAGAATTAACCAGGGATCTATCAGCAAATTTTTTGAATGAATGCCGATTTGCAGTTCCTCCTGGAACCGATGTAAGTCCATAATTTCTTACTTCTTGGCAAATCTTGAAAATGCTTCGTCATCTACTTCAGACAATGACGGGTCCCAGCTTATGTCTATGTGGTCCCTGAAAATACTCATTTTGGAGGATAACGATTTTTTTTGCTTCTAGAATGATAAATTATTATTACACTCGGAGGTTTGGTATTTCCTTCGTGATTTATGTGTATACCTACTTTAAGTCGTCCGTAATTAAAAGAGGCTTTTTTCTGACATAAGTCCACGTGCCGGAGGGACGTGATAAAAATCGAATTATTTGCAAGTTAAAGAGCAGTTTCGAGGAATTTGTCACATTAATTTATAAAACATGGCTGTGGTTATAGTTTTTAAGCAAAGTTTCCGCACAGCCCCATACTATTGTAAAACAAATCTGTTTTCCCAACGGAAATGTATTGTTTTTGTCATTGTTTTCTCTGTTCAAGAACTGAATGCATAATGTAGGATGGGGCTGTGCGGAAATTTTACCAGTTTTTATAGCGTTTGATAAGTATTTAGCTTCTAAAAGCAGCGTATAAGTGATCAGTTCAACGTCAATTGCAACTGCATCTTACTGAAATGGCATTTCATTTTGTCAGGGTAGGATTTTTAAGTTCAGTCAGTTAACTCTGTTTTGGATAGTGACTGAGTCATTTAAAACCTGATTAACCGGCAAAACTCTTAATATACATCCAATTTTGTTATGAAAGATACAGCTTTTGTAAAGTCTTTCTTTTCTTGAAAATGCAGTAGCATATATGCCAATTCTCCCGGATACAGAGCCAATCTTCTGCTCTCCTGTATGGGTAACCAAAACTCCTGCATAAAAGGAAGTTTGGATCAGTTGCCCACAAAAAACTAGGATTTAAGCTCCATAAGTTCCAAAATTCCAAAATCATCTGGCTTCTTATGCTTTCATTATGGTTTCTGGCATCATTTTCTAGTGTGATGCACGATTGTGCGGTTGTTGTTGCAAACAAAAAGAACAGAGTTTTTTCTTTGTTACACCTATATAAGCAAGAGTCTGATTGAATAAATATTCAACTAATTGAAGTCCCTGACAGATAGATCTGCGTTTTTCCTGCAGAATTGCTAGGGGGGGGGGGGGGGGTATGGGGTCCAGATTGAAAAAGAATTTTCTGGAGGGGAGTCACATGGGGGGGGATGTGCTGGTCCAAAAAAAAATCTCTAGATTTGAGATCTCCACAGGTTGGCATCTCTGCAATAGGTAAATATGGTTCATTGCAGCCCAGGCTGCAGAGTATGGCAGACAAGTTCTGATGACTTCAAAGATAATTCTGCTGTGTGAAATGTGTAGTAAGAAATGAAAAATCATTCATACATACTCTCCAGACAAGATAACAGCAGTGTTGAAAAAATTGGACCTATTCTTACGTTTCAATAAAGTACACAACAATAAAAACAAGCTTTAATCTATCTCCTGAACAAAAAATTGAAAGAGATGCAACTGTCAAACCAGTCTGACATGTAACTGTCTTTACTTGTGATTTTTAGCCCATAGAGTTTTTAAGACCTTTTGCTAATGGAGAAAGTGATGTTAAGATCCATTTTGACCATGGAACAACTACTTTGGCCTTCAAATTCCAACATGGTGTCATTGTAGCCGTTGATTCAAGAGCAACGGCTGGATCTTACATTGGTAAGTTGGTTTTCCACAAGTTGAAGACTCTCTCTTGAGTGGGTGTCATGGCCAGTCATTGTAAAGTGTTATTATAAGAGTTATAAAATAGATGGCAAAATTACCTAAGCTCTTTGGCTGAGACAGAGAGGAACTTTCTTTGATTTTGGTAATTGCCCAGACAATCACCAAAATTTAGGAAACATCTAAAAAGGCTTAACTTTGTCTAAACATATTGTTATTTTGTTGATGGCGTTTGTTTTTATAGTAGGGCTGATTTCATTGCTTTAGTATTGTTGTATGAAAATAAAATTTCAGTCTGCTGATTCATGCATTTTACAGTTCATTGATGCCAACTGAACACTGAAATGGCTTTCTTTGAGTGTATAACGGCATGCATTTTTGACCTTCTTCATAAAACAAGTAATTGCTTGTTTCCCTGTTAAATTAAGGATTACTATCACTTGTGTTTTTAGTAGTAGCAGAAATTCCCCTCATCGTTTCTGCAACTCCTGAAAACACATGTGATATTAATCTTAAGCTTTACTTGGTCCCATGCGATTAACTTTACTGATTCTCAATTACCACCTATAGATATCATAACAGGTATTTGGTTCTCAATAATCCTTATGATTGAATTTACGACATTCTTGATAAACTGATTACTTGTACTGTTGTGTAGCCTCACAGACGGTGAAAAAAGTGATTGAAATCAACCCATATCTTCTTGGGACAATGGCTGGGGGAGCTGCTGACTGCTCTTTCTGGGAGAGACTTCTTGCCAAACAATGCAGGTAATAAAGCTTGTTCCAAATTGGGTTTGTTAAGACTTCTTTAAATAGTTAACCTTTTAACTCCCAAAAGTAATTAACATGTAACTTTTCTCTTTAATATCCAAACACTATCCAGAAAACCGGTAATGAAAATGCTTTAACATATCAGGTAGAATGTGATAACTTGATCTAACACCAAATTCTTGTAACTAATTTATAAGGAAATATGTAGCAGCTAGAGGGGAGAATTTACAATCAGATTGTGGAAGTTAAATTGAGTTTCTATTAGTCAAACAGCAGGTGATAACTCTAGCATGTACCATATGTTTTGGGTAGTATTTCTTATTTTCTTGAATAGCCAGGAATCTCATTATTCCATGTAAATTAAATAGCCTTGATCAAATAGTCTTAGGAAAGGCACATTTATGTTGAAATACTTAAAGCCTCCAAACCTCCTTTTTCAAATTTAATCAAAAAGAGACTCTCAGTGCACTGATTTAACAAATTACTTTGAAGAAGGTTGAAAACACATGGGAATAATTTTATTGTCAAAGTGGCTTGGGATTGAATTTTGAGCAAATGATTTTATCTTGAAACATAGAGATAATTTTTTTTTTAAATTCATACAAACCATGCAGGATTTATGAGTTGCGCAATAAAGAGAGAATCTCAGTGGCTGCTGCATCTAAACTTCTTGCCAACATGGTGTATAACTACAAAGGCATGGGGCTCTCTATGGTGAGTGTTAGCCAGCTTGCAATGGTCAGCTGAGTTACTGGTCTTGTAAATTAGTTATTTTAACCATTGATGTTTTAGATGCCTTTCTAGATTTTTTTTTTAAAGTTTGAACATGGTTCAGTTCCATAACTGTATCATTTTCTGATGAAATCTTTATTTTGCAGGGAACCATGATATGTGGCTGGGATAAAAGAGTGAGTTGATTGAATTTTTTTTATTGTTTTTTTCTGTTAGTGGTGTACACTATTTTCTGTGGTTTCTCCATTATTTCTGTCCCTCAATTTCTCTGAATCATTGTGCTTTGTGAATTTTGTAAACCATAGCAACTTTACTATAAGATTCACCCCTGCTATGCTAGTCAGGGCTTTACTAGATAATTTCATCCTCTTTAACATAAATTTGCGTACAGGAAACTGTCTCAATTTTTTTCGAGGCATGGACAAAAACTTATGAAAGTTTTGCTGTGACTAGACAGCAATAGGAAATCTAGTCCATTTGAAGAACTAAGCAGATTGCAAGATTAATTACAATGCTCACTGGAAAAAAAAAACAAATAAACATTTTACTTCATTATCTTAGGGGCCAGGTCTGTACTATGTTGATAGTGATGGCACTCGCCTGTCCAATGACATGTTCTCTGTTGGCTCTGGTTCCACCTATGCTTATGGTGTGTTGGACAGCGGCTATAAGTATCATTTGAGTGTTGAAGAAGCTTATGACCTGGGTCAGAGAGCTATTTACCATGCCACTCACAGAGATGCATACAGTGGGGGAGTGGTGAACTGTGAGTATACAGAAGAGGATGTACTGATTTGAAAATAAAATACTGCTTGAAAGTTCCTCATACAAAATGCACCAACCCGGGAATTTAAGCATTGACTCTGAACACCATTACTTTTGGCATGTTATCACTCTCCCTACCACAATCCATTTTTTAAACCAGTTGCTTATCAAAGCATTGCTAACAAAATCTTTAAGGAAACTGCACCAGAATTGCACTCTTCCCACAAATAAAAATAAATTTAAAAAAATAAACAAAAAATAAACAAAAGAAACAACAGTTTTGTCTATCTCAAAGCTCTGAAGAATCTTTGGAAGCAAATTTTTTACATAGTTTGGTTTTAGAAAATTATGTAAATTGTCTTTTTCTTCTCCTTTTTCAACAGTGTATCATATGAGACAGAATGGATGGATCAAGGTTTCTCAAACAGATGTGGCCAAACTTCATTACCAATTTCAAGAAGAAAAGCAGAAATAGAAATCAAGTTTATGTCACTCCATAACTTTACATGTGCTGAACGATATTGTCAATAAAATTTGTGTCATTGTCTTTAAAGTATCAAACTCTGCTTAATGTCAGTGTTCTGTTAGAGTTATGTCATCTGTCAGAAACATAAGTCTTTCCTCTGTTCCGCAGTTAATGAATGATTGACATCGGCAAGACATGGCTAGAAAAAGTAGGCAAAATAGCGGAGCGTATACCGGTTACTAAGCATTAAGCGATAAGGATTACTGCTTCTACACCGTGGACGGATTCTCAGTATATCTTAAGCTACTCCTCAGTATTCGTCACAGTTCCTTGACGTAAATACTACTATTGCCAAGTTGTTTTCTATCGTAACACAAGCTCGTGAAGGAATTATTGTCACTGGAGCCTCTTTGGAGTTGAATATCAATTTAGATTGGCGTTTAGTGGGTTTGTGTTTTGATATATACAAACACAATATAATTGATCATTACACACGATTACCTTCAATTTACCATACCCTTGGAAATTATTAAGTAAACAGTACACAAAAGTGACGTAAAACATTTTTAGTATCTTTTAATTGAGTAAGACGTCTAGGGTATTATAAAATCAAGTTAAAGATTAAATGTAAATTTATGGGCATATCTAATTGTAATAGCTAGAAAAATACTTTACACATTTGCAACTGTCACACGGCTATATAAGTTCATCAAATTATCCGGCACTATATACACGTACAAATTAAACACTATTTTCGTTTTAATACTACACTCTATATAGTTGGTGAAAAAAACGTTCAAATCGTTGGTCATTTCATAATTGAAAGCTCTATCACAGTAAAAATATCAGATACCAAAAAAAAAAAATAATATTGAAATGATTTGTCGATTTTATAAAATTTGATTTACCAAAAAAATATTTTTTGTGAGAAAACATTCAAATGCATGAATAGTTAGAACATTCTTATATAAGAAATAATTGGGATCTACTGATGAACACAATTGTTTGCTTAGCGTCTGTAAAGAAGGTCAAAGTGAAATGGGAGAAGAGCAGTAAATGCCTCTTAAATCCTTTAAACTCTACGAGTGACTAGCATATAATTTCTCTCTGCAATAATACTGGTGAATCATTCATTAGGATCATGAGAATTGAAGAAATGATCGCCAAACTAAGTAGCTTTGATTGTTAAACCAATTCTCCTTGTCAGTTTCTAAGGAAATGTATAGACACGAGTATGGAGAATATGGATACTGACGTTAAGGTGTGAAGGGTTAACACTAACTATTTTGAATGGCAGATGATTCCTTCGGTCGACTTGCGCTCTTGCAATGGGACTTCATGCATCAATTGCAAAATAGTATTCCATGACTGGCCGTCAGTGTGGGTATTGCATTTAGTCAAATGTCATAGGTCTGATGCGAGAGAAGTTACGAGTCTGCAAAAAGGACAAATATTCATATAACTAGGAGTTCTAATTTTTTAATACAGAATTGCTTACACGTATATTGCGCCATTACGAGGGTCTCAATGGGGTGACGGCTTTTACGGCCATTTTATGACTAACGGTTGAGATCATCCCATTGTTGTCACCAGAATTTTTTTGAACGGTTACCTTTTTTTTACAATTAACGGTTGAAATTTGACAGTTTATACGCCTAACGGTTAAAGGTTTGGCCGTTTTAAGGCTATCGGTTAACCCCATTGAAATCGTATATAACACGCGCGTCAAGCGCGCGTTTAATTTTCATATCTAGCATACAAAATACATGCGCAAAACACCCAAGTGTTAGAAAAGAAAAATGTTGTCGTGTTTAGAGCACATGAAAATTATACCCTATAAGTTAATTATAGCCCATTGATGAATGTATCTTTAAAACTCGAACATCCTGCTAAATCGAACTTGATGCTATTTCCTAGAGCTTTTTTGATCCATTCACTATTGACGAATTATAGCCTCCTTCTCGTATTTCTTCGCAGTTCAAGGTAGTGGTACGGATTAAAGAGTAGCTGGTCACGGTGTTCAAAATCAATCGTCGATGGCAAACAAACGGACAAACAAAACTTAAAAGTACCTACACGAGGATTCATAACAGCATGTATGTCTGACAGCTTCACTCTGCTATATTCCTGACCACCAAAAGCTCCTGAAGATAAAAGGTTACGAGGTTAGAGAAATAGTAAGCAAAGCTCGAATAATATTTTGTAAGAGAACAAAAAAACATGGAGGCATTGCTTTTCTACTCCATCAATCCATGCGACTACCATGTGACCAATTGAATCTCGACAAAACTGGCAATAATGTTCTGCTCATAAAAGTCTTAGGCCAGCTGAAATAACCTCAGATCTTGCGTTCTGTTTCATTTTCAAAAGCGGCCTCTCTTAAAGAGGAATGGGGTGGACAGATGAAATGTAGGTCTAGTGGATGGGAAGAACGGACAAGATTACAGACTAGAATTTCAAGGGGGTCCTCAAAACTGAATGGCAGATTTGAAGTTCATGAGCTGTCAATTGAAATATATTGAAATATATTGAAAGTTTCAACATCCTTAATAGTATTAATCTATTGGTTGCGGCCATTTAACCCAGCCTCGTTCTCCAAGGTAGAAGAGAGAGCCTGGGAGCCATCCTACTCATGGTTGCTTCTTTACCTGGGTGATCAATTTTGAGTCCTACAAATATACTCCCACCGCTATCAAATTTGCTGACGTACTTCACCATTCCTGTCAAGTTCATCTTTTCTTCTCCTTTGAGGAAAGAGAGAGACGACAAATAAGTAAATAGTTGATCGTGAACTCGGGTCGTCCGAGTGGGAATAGTATTGAAAAGGACTGTTGCTTGTAGTAGTGATAGACGTTTCGACAACCTAAGCGGAAGCTATCATCAGAGTCAAGTGGAGAGCTGTTTGTCCGTCAAACGTTATGGGTCTGTTTTTCGCGAAATCTGATGAAGATAAATTGTGTTTTTATCCTTGTTCAGGCCCCTGGTATCCGCGTAATTTAGCTTAAGCGCTTCAGGAAGCCATCGACATTTTGTCAGCCAAAAACATTGCTATGAAAATCTTAAACTCCTAATCGTAATGTACTATTGAATCTTAACGTCTTAACACATGTAGCTTGCGCTTTAATGCATCAAGTGGCGGAACCGTGAAAACGAACGGCGAAACCTCACGAGGCATGGGACAGAAAATAGTGATGATAACTCTTACACTACTTACCAGTTACTCTACTTTGTATCATAACTTTGTCTCCTTTATGGACACTACCCGAAGAGAAAACTTCATCATCAGCATCGTAACCATTAAGACCGGTTCCCTCCGAAATACCACCCAGGTCGCTGTGGTATCCCGCTGTATCACGTGACCAAGTCAGGAGAGGTGTGTGTGACCTTACACCATATGACGACATGGGACGTTTCGGTCTCGGCCTGTCTGAAGGAGAAGCACTTGGAGGTCTAGGGGTGGTCTCCGGTGCTGAATGATGTCCTGGCCCGCCATCAGCAAGATCACCGTTTGTGACTTGAGGTGTTTGTTCTTCTCCTGCGGGTACAGGTCTCATCCGTCCAATCTATCGTCACAAAATTAACTATTTAACTCGAAGTTTGTGATGGAGCGTTCCTTAACCCTTTAACTCCCATAAGCGACCAAGACAGAATTTCTTCTTAGTAAATCAATACAATATCAAACAGGCAAGTGATGAGAATACAGAAAAATATCAGTTAGAGGATTATTAGTTGATTCAATATCAAATTCTCAGAACTAACATTATAAGAACTGTATGGCAGACAGTAAGGAGAATTACTAATGAGATCTTGGGAGTGAAAGGGTTATTAATTGTAGCAAAACCAAATTCAAACTAACCACGTCAGAAATAAAATGACAGGAAAAGATCACAAGGAAAGATCACAAGGAAACCAAAATAAAATCAAGCAGACCGACTAAATATACCCGATTTTCAAATAAGCGTGGAAAGAAATGCGCGATCGATCTGGTTTTGTTTTATTTCACTCTCTGTTTAGTCTAGAAAAGTTGCAATCTAAAACGATACCTTCTACTACAAACAAATGCAAAACTAACCCCAATCGCTAATTGGCCACTTGCGTTACACCGTGCCATGGGCAGACTACAAATATTTTTTTTGAGCTCTTACGGAATCCTTGTGAAATTATTACATTTGCTCCGATTGGCTGTTTTGATTATTTTGAGTTGATTTTCAAGACCCTCAATCTGAAAGCGTTTGAGTACAATTTACAAGCTATGGCTCACCAAACTGAGATAAGTCTGAGTAACATTGATGTATGTCTACCTTATGCGAGCTATTAATGTAACTTTGGTTCAAACACGGTGGACCCATTTTGTGCGCAAGGCGTCTACGTACTAAACTTGATCCACCACTTTGAAATTCACTGCCTGGCCTCCTCTTGGGTGGGGCGCTTTTAGGTCTCTTCCTGCAAGGAAAGGTGTTTTTGTAAAATCACCCCTGAGACACTTACATATCACAGTGAAGGGTCGAGGATCTTTCCCTTTTTTCAAATTCAGCCATTACTTCAGTAAATCTTAATACAACATCGAACCAAACTTGTTATCAGTTGACTGCTGTTGGGGTAGGGGAGGAGTACGTGCGCAGTTGCTCACCCACTGACATCGATCCAAAACTAGTCTGTCCCAAAAGCATTTACGTATTGTCTACGTGTTAAAAAATTATATAAGATATTATAATACGGGTTTTAAATTCCTACCTCAAGGATACTTATCGTTCTGAAATTGTCTTGAAATGTGGTAAAATTGAGAATAAGAATGCCGCCATTTTGAATATTGCCTCGAAACTTGGCCGCTAACCAATTCCTAATCAGTCTCGCTCCCTTTTTTTCTAGTTTTTTTTTTCTCTTGGAATGATTGGGAGCCACGAAAAAGGCGTCCATGACTCAAATAACTATTTTTTTGTTAAGACAGAAGGTGCTGTTGCGCTATTCAAATTGAAATGTAATCTTCACAGCGAAAATGGGTCAGTGAATAAGGCTAACGGCTAAGGTAGGCAGATTGCTTCTGAAAATCTTGCTCAAAGATTATGGTCGAATTAATTTTTACTAGCAGGTTTTATTTTAGATAATGTGCGATACAAAATAATGCCTTCACACTTACCCCAACACTTTGTCAGCTCTGTGCTTCCACCAGTCACGGTCATTCTGATAAGATATCAACACGTCCTCAAGCTGGTCTTTAAGGTCATCAACTACACTTTGAAGCCGTACTATTTCCATGAACTTTTCACCTAAGTTTTTTTCTTGCTCTTTGATGCGTCCAGTCAAGGTTGATATTTCAGCTGATTTTCCTTCAAGTTGACTGTTGAGTTGCTTTTTGTCATTTTGTAAGTTCTCTATGTTCTGGTCCAGTTCCTGCAAGGTAGAGATTCAGACGAAGAGATTGTCAGGATTTTTGTACAGATGGAATTGAACAGCAAGATGAAGCTGAGAAATCCAAGTAAATAAATACCGGATAGCAAAAACCAATTGCGGCTCCCAATTTCAGAGACACTTCGATCCGCGCAGTAAGTTTCAGCAAAAAAGAGGGAATACAAAACATTATACGCTTAAAGAATGTACGACCTACAGCCCAATTAAGAAAAAGCTCAGCGGGCAAATCAAGTGTCTCTTCATTGTCTTTACACTCCGACTCACTCGTAATATCTATCTATACATCACCTACCATGTAAAGGCCCACTCTGTATAATTAGACAATTTATAATTGTAAAAATATTACGCTTCTTTTCTTTTAAATGTCCGACTCCTTAAACAGAATATCGCAAAAATTAAATTCCTTGCAGAAATTGCTATCATTTGAATCTGAATATTTTTGTTCCCAAAAAATATGAAATGTCTCTGGTTCGTAAACTGTATACAATACCATACCCATGCCACACCGTTAATAAGGTAGCCTCTGCCGGCAATAGGCTGAAATGGAAGGAACAGGATCATCACGGCCTTTTGGCAGTGCACTTTGTGAGGCTGCTGCATAACACTTTGTTCTTCCATTTTTTTTTTTGGAGGGGGGGAGGGGAGAGAGAGGGGGGTTGAGTGGGGTAGGGCTGTTTTCAATTTTGGTACTCAATACACTCTCTTAACTTTTAACTTACTTTTCTCTTGCTATTTGATTGTTCCAGACTTGTCTCACTTTCCTTTAACTCCAGTTCAGTGTTTTTCAGCCGACATTCAACTCTATGTTTCTCCTCCTCTGTAAATTTCAGTTTCTTCTCAATATGTGACTTGATGTCTAGTTCCTGTTGAAAATGAAATATTGTAAATTTACTGATATTTATTAAGTTTCTTATGTTCACAAAAAAGAATTTCTTTACTTATGATCTCTTACAAGAATCAGCATATTTTCTAATCATATTTTACAATACCTGCATGCAGCTGCATGTGAATTACACAACAGCTGGATTTATAGAAAGCCCAATAAGAAACATATGTATGTATATACATACTTATACACATATATAAGTATCTATTTTATTAAACAATATTTAGATAAATAGAATAAGAAAGATGGTTAATTTTTAGCATGGTAACAAAATAGAGAAAAATGTTTTTCAAGTCATGGAATAATTCCATGACCCTCCCCTTTTTTGGTTGTATAAAATATAATGACCCTTCCCCCATTTTGCACCAGCCTTCTCCCCTCTAATAAATGAAAGGTCCTCTAAGGTCTGATGCTTTATTCTTTCAATGCTAAAATTGACTGATCATTGTTACAACTTAAAAATAAATTCGTTGTCAGCCTCAGACCTACCTTTTCCAGCTTGACCCTTAATTCTTTCTCAGTTTCCAAACTTTCTCTTAAACTTTTCATGTTCTTTTCTTTTTCATCAATAACATTCCTGGCAATCTAAAATTGACACAAACATCATGAGTAATGTGGATGGAAAATAAAAAGGGAAATATTTTAAGGAAATAATCACTCAATGACATCTAAAAAGCATGATACAAATTTATTCATATTGACACAGTCATCCAAATAGAATATACCATAGAAACAAACCTGCAAGGTGTCCTTGACTTCAGTGAGCTCCAGATTTAAAATTTGAATTTTTCTTCCCTTCTCCTGAGCTCTGGCCCTGATTTAACAAAAAAAATAAAAAATTGCATGATCATGCAACACCTTTTCTTATTAATATATATTCACTTTGAATTCACTCAGTTTGTAGATGTAATTTACACCATTCAATTTGAAGCTTCAACATCCTCCTGGGCAACCCACAAGCATTTAACTTTCATTGTGGGCAGATGGCTCAGAAGAAAGGATATACAGGAGAGTCACAGGGGCTAATGTTGCCTTTCACAAAAACAAAAAAAAATTGAGGATGAAACCAGTACTTGGGTGGGGCATTTGAGCACAATTTTGGCTCCATGGGTCAGGAATTTCAATGAACCAACCTTCAAAAGTTCAAATTCCTGAGGGGGAGGGGGGAAGAAAAAGCCAGTGTGCTCCAAAGCGTAGAAACAAAGTAAAGAAATTATCTTGATCAACTGTGAGACAATGCAGACTTGTGCCCTACTCACTGTGCCATCCTCAATGTGTGTCTTTCCTCATCTAAGTCTTTCCTGGCCTGCTCTACTTCCTCTTTCTGTGACTCAATTGCCTGTTTACTTCTCCTAATTTGATCTTTGAGTTCTTCTCGATCTGCTCTGTATTCCAGAGCTCTTGTAAGCTTCTCTTTATTTTTTGAAAGATCACTCTCCAGCTTAGCATTCTCTTTTTCCTCTGTAATTGGGATACCATTGATTGAACCATTAACTTTGTGATCTTTTAGATTATGAAAGCTCTGAACACATAATACAATTATACTAAATTTCCACATCAACTTGTAAATTTATCCACACCAGTCACATATACCTATTATGTGCTTTTATAAGTGGGTTACAGCAAGCATGATTGTATGTAAATTACTTCATATTAAAAATTAATATTAATTGAATACCATTCTCTGGTCAAAAATATCATATTTGATAAAATATTTGTACTAAATAATATTTATTTACTGCTACAGAATAAGCTTACTTTTTTTAATCAAGTCCATGGCATCTTCATAGTCGGCTTTGTATTTTTCTAGAGTATCCTCTCTGACACGATACTGTGGCAAAAATATAAAAGTAGTGTTACAAATGCATAACTCATTTATTCTTGACAGATTGATTCACACAATATTTGAATTACTGTAAGTGACAACAGTTACTCAATTTAGCCCCCAACCTCAGAATAGCGCCCACCACAAATATGCACCTACCATTTTAAGGCCCCTGAATCAAAAATTAAGGTTGTAAGAGCCCCTTGTTTGTTAGCCAAATTCTCTTTGTAAATACTAAAAATGTATAGACAGCAGTATAGAGTACTAGCATACTGGTGTTAGGTGTAATTAGAGTTGGTTCCTTATAAGATGGTTCAGAATTCTACAATATTTTTTGTACCCTACCACTTTGTCTACAGCTTCCAAAGCTTAGCCATGTACCAATAGACAGCAGTATAGACAACTTGCATATATTAACTGATGTTAGGGTGCAAAGAGTTAATACTTACAATAATAAGGTTCTACAACTTTTACAACTTACCACTTTGTCTACAGCTTCCAAAGCTTTCACAGCCTCTTCATAATCTGCTTTAACCTTTCTTTTATCGCCATTGAGTTTGGTCACCTTAACCTCCAGCTCCTGGATCCTTTCTTGCAGTTTTATCTGAGATTCTTTCGTAATTTTCTGATCAGCTAATGATCTCTGCTCATCTTCCAGTTTTCCATTCTTCTCTTGCAACTCAGTCTTCTCATTCTTGAGCTTCTGAACAGCATTCTCTAGATGACTACTGTGAGTTTTAGCATTGTTCAGTTCCTTCTGAAGTTTGGATTTTTCTTGTAGAAGAACCTTTCGTTCTTTTTCCTGCGCTTTTTCTAGTTCTTCCTTGCTTTTTTTAATTTCTTCTTCCAGGGAAGAAACTCGACTCTTAAGAAATTCATTCTCTTCTTTCAGGCCACTAGCCATCTCTTCTTGATCACGCAAAGAAGTCATTGACCTGTTCACATCCTCCTTGGCACCCTCTAGCTGTTGTTCCTTACTTCTGTTCTCAGCTTCAAGTTGTTTAACTTTCTCTTTTGATGAAGAAATTGTTTCTTCCTTTTCTTTTTGAGCATTTTCTAGGCCATTTTCTAGTTCTGTAATTCGGACTTGAAGTTTGGAAATTTCTTCTTTTAGTTGAGTAACAAGCTGATCTTTTTCAGGTGTCTGGTTTGTAATAGCTTGTTCATGGACTTCTCTTTCTTGTTGTAGTTGATCTGTAAGTGCCTTAAAGAATAAAAGACATAATTTAAGTGCAAATGTTTTTTAAAATCAAATTTGTGGTTCAATTAAACTATTTTAAAGTGAAAGCTCCAATTCCTAATTCATCTGTATCTGTTATTTCCTGCCACTGCCTCAAAAAGTTTAATATTTGAGGGTTGTAAAGTGGTTTTAGTAAAAGCAAAACCTCTTACCACCAGCTGTTCAGTGTTTGTCAGTGGGCTATCATGTTCAAGTTTTGCTTTACAATGCAGCAGCCTATATCACACCATCAGCAGCCACTTATCAAAAAAGAGATTGAGACCTGGGCTGGTTGAGGTATTTTCTTGTGACAGAGTTTATTTTGTTGATTGTTTAAAATAATATAGTAGACCTGTTATTGTGACAAAGTCTACTTTAATTGGGCTGTGTATATTTTAGATAATCAACAGACCTCTAGATCAGCTTTAATTAAATTTACCTTTACTTTATCCTTTTTTTCCTCTATGCCTTTCTCCAAGGACAAGTTTTTCTCTGTCAGGTTTTCATTCTCTTTTTTTAAGCTGTCTAATTTAATTTCAAGTTCCTTGATAACTTTGTCTTTATCCTCTTCCTTCCTCCTTTCCTCATTGAGTTCTGCCTCCAAAGATGATTTTTCCTTTGACAAACTTTCAATTTGCTGTGACATGTTTTCATGTTCTCTCGTTAGTCTATCAAATTCAACCTTCATCTCATCTTTTTCATCCGCTCTCTTGCTATCTTCCTCTCCAAGTTTATCCTCCAATGATGATTTTTCCTTTGACAAACTTTCTTTTTCCCATTTCATTCTTTCATTCTCTCTCCTTAATTTATCTAGCTCATTTTTCAGCTCATCATTTTCATTTGCTCTCTTGCTACTTTCCTCCCCCAGTCTCTCCTCTAAAGACAATTTTTCCTTTGACAAACTTTCAATGTCCTTTTTCATGTTCTCATTTTCTTTTTTCAGTTTATCAATTTGATCTTTCAGCTCATCTTTGTCATCATCATCTTGCTCTGATCCTCCTGATCCTGTTTGTTTTTTCTTTCTTAATTTCTTCCTCTTTTTCTCTTCCTTGCCATTGCCCTCTTCAGCACTTGAACCACTAAGTGTAGTTACAGTGTCAACCTCTATTTGAGGAATGATGGAGTCTGATCCCTTAATATTTTTATCCTTAGACTGATCTTGCATTCCTGTCAAAGGGCTCTCACTTATCTTTATGTTGCTTGCAGGAAAGTTTGAAATTTGTGCAGCATCAACTACATCAAACTCGTCATCAGTAGCTTCAGTAGCTTCCTTTCTCTGTTCTTCTGTCTGTGCAACGTTAAAGTTGTCCATATTCAATCCAGGCTCATTAATTGATTTATTTACTTCACTGTCTCTGAGTTGTTTACTGGTATTTGATAAAACCTGAAAGCAAATAAGACATCTGATGAAAAAGGATTGTCAACTGAGTCATACCCATTCATAAACATCTTAATCAGTACTTTAGAGATGAAAGCACTTATTGACTGAGTGTGGCAAAACAAAAACCAAAGTATACAGTACATGTAATCATTAACAGCAAATATCAAAGGAAGTCAGACAGAGAACTCAAGGTAAAAAAAAGGAAAAGAAAGTGTCCAAGCCATGATTGGTTTTAGTTTTGCATCTGACTGGTAGAGAAGGTGGTGCAAGTTTTCTTGACCAATCACAGAGCAAGGTGGAGCAAACCTTGTTAAATCAAATTCTGGATCATTTTCACAGACTGAAGGATCTTAACATCTAGGAGAGACTCTAACAATGTGGTACCTCCCTTCAAGACAGAAGCAAACTCCACAGTTTGGAAACAATTCAAAGGGCATATTTTTCCTCACAGAAAAAAAGAAAAAGTGTTTTGGTCCTGGATCTCTAATTTATCCTATGCTCCAGGGCTTAGATTTCTAACAACTACAACTACAGCTGAAAATTTCCCCTCTTCAACCCACCCCCCCCTCCCCCACCCTCCACTCTTTCACGCATGTAAACCCACTTTACTGTGATTCAACATGGCCGTAACAATATCAATTGTTCGCATAGACCTTATTACGACTCAAATTAAATAATTTGCCTGAAATTGGCTAAAGTTAATACAAAACTAAAGTCACAAATAACAACAGCATTTGAATAATGATTTGTAGTAATGTAACACAAAAAAGTGGTAAATAAAGCTTTTGATGTGCTTGGTACAGGCTTAATTAGCTAATATGCAGAATATCACAAACACAAATGAGGAGAAGATTAGATTACACATCTGATGTTCCCTCTCAATTTTTTGTCCTAAAACTCAGTTTAAGCCGTTAATTCATAGGGGCTGAAAAAAGTTTATGATCACTTTTTCATTCACAGTATCCGTAGTTTGTCTGGTTTCCTAACTAGCCATTTGAACTTTTAAAACTTAAAGTATATATATTCCCTTTGGCAAACATACTCTGTTTACTAAACACTTGGATTCCAATGGTCGCTTCTGTTGATATGACAACTTTACGACTTCACTTCACTTTTCCATTCTTATGAACTTCAGTGACCACAAAATACAAACAAAGTTACCTGCACCATTGAAACTTACCTCGCTATAGTTGTATTCACGAACCACTTCTAAGGCTTCTTCAAAAGCCTTTTCCACCAAATTTTCGCCGAGCAGAAGCAAGTTTACAGAAATTCCAGAATCAATGATACCCGTTACATTCGACTGTCCTGTTAGTGATTGCCCGGTGGAGCTTTCCATATCGAACAAAAAACTCATCTAAGACAGCGGACATCTTGGTTTCAAAGCTCTGTGTACAACTAGTAGCAGAATTACCTTTTCAAATCAGTAACTATAGCACCACACAGTCACGGAACGTTGATCAAGCGACTTTTGCATCTGTTTAGAAACTCTGCGGTCGCTTAGTAACCGCACTTCGCGCCAATATTAACTTATTAATTTGCCTCAAATTACCATTCATAAAATTATTTATTTTTCAAAATGGACATCGCAGTCTAAAGGACAACTTACGATGCGATTTTAGTCATAAAGAAAACAAATTATGGAAAAATATAATAACCCGAGGAACGAGGAAAACGAACATTTTAGAGGCGCTTTAATATGTTAAAACCCAGGCAACCCACCCCACAGACCACCCCCCCCCCCTCTTTTACAGCAACAACCGCTTCGCAATGGTCCGAATGAAAGAGGCTGGAAAGGAGATCCAACATGGCGACCTCTCGTGGTCCGCTTCGCCTGGGATGGACTCTACGGGTTTTGTCCAACACTCATTCAGCTTTACGTAAGATAAGTACCTCAGCTTTCAACAGAAATACCTTCAGAGTAATACTTTCGACACAGAGACGATTTTATAGCGCAGAAGCACAGCCAGAAGAAGTTGATACAAAGGTAGATTCACCTAGGAATCTACTAGAAGTTTACGAGGTGGAACCTACTTTACTGCAAGGTCCCAGGAAAAAGCCTATTTCTCAAGATTATGTCGAGCAAGAAATTGAAAAATCACGAAAAATCCGATCCAGAGTTCCAGTGTGTATAAATCCTGTGGATGCTCAATGGACTCCTGAATCTAAACGGGTTGGGTTGGTAGGAGTCAAGTTGGGAATGAGTTGTTTGTGGCTCAAGGATGGAACAAGGAAGCCTGTCACCCTGGTTGAGGTAATAACGGCTTAAGATTGGAGTTCAAATTACTTTTTTTCACCCCTCTGACTTTTATTTTCGAAAATACTTAGAACTGATTAATAATAATATTAATAATGATGATAATGAGCAATTATTGGATAAAGTGGAGCATGATATCATGAATTATCAATGCCGAGGTCATCATTATAACAGTTACAGGTTAACTGTTATAAAAATTAATTCTTAGATTAAGGATTGTCAAGTTGTTGCAACAAGAATCAGCAGAGAACTTGGTGGCAGAGATGATTCAACAGAGCTTCAGGTTGGAGCAGTGGAAGAAACTCAGTTGTATAATGTGAGTAAAATAAACCTCCATGTGCTGGTTCCTAATTCTTCCCTCAAGGTGCCATAGATTTCCTCATAATTAAGTTCAGAAATCTGGTGTCAAATTATTACTCTAGCTGATACATTTTTCTTACCTCTTTTTTTTTTCTTTTTAATCACTTGTAAGAGTTGAGTGATTAGTGATTCAGCAAATTTAGATAAAATGTTCTTAAATATAGACAAATTTTGTTTAAGGCTGGTTTTTGGTTATGTTGGAGTTCAAGTTTGGGTGGTAGTCAGGAGTGCAGGCCCTAGTTGTTCGAACGTTGGATAACTCTATCCTCTAGATAAATCTCTATCCAGTGGATAACACTATACATTTTTTTATCACTTATCTGCTGGAGAGCTATTTATCTGTTGGATAGTATTATCTGCCCTTTACACAACTGGGCCCAGAATGATACAATCAAGTACAAATCAAATTAACAGAATTGAAAGTGGATTGCTAATACTTTTGATGACTCTTTGGCCTAAAATTTAATGAAAACAGAATTGCTGGACTTGTAAGATTTCAAGAACCTTAAGAACTGCATTTCTGGCTGGTCAGGTTTTCCCTTTTCTTCCAACTCTGACAATAAATTATTCACCAAATCATAGGTGTTGCATTAACATAGGCAGAACTGGGAGACAATGGAAATATTCTCATATTTCTAACTGCAGTCATTTTGAGTCTGTGATGGTACTTACCATTCCAGCTTCCAATTTTCACTAGATTGTAAGGCCTCTCACCAAGGCAACTGCAACTTGAACTGTAACTTTGTCTCAAGCACTTGCAAAAATTAGTGTTCTTGATTCATTGTAATTAATTAAACATCTGGCATTCACTGCTGAAAAATTTTGCCCTGACCCTGTCTAGGTCATCATACCTCCCTCTTTTACAGTATTATCAAATTAATCTTCCCCTTTTTTGCCATATAGGTCAGAAAATCTCAATATGGACACTTCAAGAAATATGGCATCAATCCAAAGAAAAAGGTGGCAAGCTTTCCTGTTACAGAAAATGGTCTTCTTCATCCTGGTATGAAAAAGGAAAATAGATCTTTAAAGTTGATCAGGAAAAGTCACCTTCTGGAAGTGAAAATTACCCTCTGCAAGCAAATGAGGCTATTCCATAATTGATATTTGGTTTGAGTTGTTTTGTTTATATTTTGTTTTAATTTTAACAGGAACACCCCTTTATGCAGCTCACTTCTATCCTGGTCAGCATGTTAAAATTCAAGGAGTTACGTAGGTTGCTTTCTTCCGTCTTCATTTGAAACCCATTAAAACATCTATAACATGCTTTTTAAAGAGAGATGTAACTTTCAGCATTTATTTATTGGTCTTTAAATTTTTCTGGTGGTCTATGTGCTCTTTCCCTGCTTAGGAAATTTGCTAGCAACTGCTGCTCAGTGATCCTCTTTCAAATACTACTTGGATTTCAGTTTCTGGTAACGTAATGCATTCTTTTTTTCTCGTGAACAAAGAATTGACTGGGGATTTCAAGGTGTGATGAAAAGGTGGAAGATGAAAGGCCAACCAGCTTCTCATGGCCATTCAAAAACACACAGGAAAATGGGAGCAACAGGAGGCGGGCAGGTATGAAATACAGACAAATCCTGTAATCTAGGTCATTGAATATACAGATAGTTTTGAGATAAAAACATGGCAAGTCTATCACAGCTGGGCCAGCTGTCAGTAAAGATGATTAAAGAATGAAGCAAGCAAATATGGCCTGTGTTGGGGAAGGAAACTTGCTCCTGCTTTTTCTGTTTCCTCCATTGTAGAAGAGCTTGACATTTAGTTGTTTCCCATCAGGTTATGCCCTGATGGCATTGAAGCCTTTTTTTTTAACAGGATATGTTTGTGACCATTTGTTGGTGACAGTAACCACTCAACAAGGAGCAGTGAACTATTTTTCTTCCATAATTCATTTTTTTTTTCTGATTTTAAAATAAGGATCCTGGAAGAATCTGGCCAGGAAAGAGGATGCCTGGTCACATGGGAAATAATAGCTGTACATTCCTTGCTGTCAAGGTAATTTGAACAAGTAATGTTCATTTGGAAACTGTTAAAATTAAAATTAAAATAGTACCTTGCTGTAGATTCAAATAAAATGTACAATGACTGAACAAATCATAAGCCTTGTGTTAAGAAGTTTTTCATTTTTTTGTTCCAGATTCTTCGTATCAACACCAAGTACAATATCCTTTACCTCCTGGGAAATTGTCCAGGCAAAAAGGGAAGCTTCATTACAATTCAGGATTCTTACAAGCCACACAAACACCCTCCTCCCTTCCCTACTTATTTCCCAGATCCCCAGGATCCCCTCCCTGAGGATATGTTTGCAGATGATGTACAACAGTTTGATGAGACAATATTTTTCACAAAACAGGACCAAGCCAGTGAAGCTGCACAGGAAAATGCTTGAAGATATACAACTATAGTTTACTGGTGGTTTACCAAGTCTATGTGTGGTTTTCATTCAGAGGGAAGGAAAAAACAACACCCTGTCACTGCAATTAAGAATGATACAAGCATGGATGAAAAAAAACTGCAAGTGTGATCTGTGCAGGGTTTTTACCGATTCTTGACCTCTAGGAAAACTATTGACCTATTGACATTTGCCGAGTAAATTTTAATAGTTGGAAAAAGTATGGAAAATAAAGTTTTTAAAGATAGGAAGTTTGAAGTCTCTTCCTTGTTGTAACTTGTGTTCAACTTATTTGTCACTCCTGTGTGCACATGGTTTCCCTTTTCATTGGCCACCATGCTTCTCAAAGGATTTCAACCAACAGGACTGAAAATTTTGGGTTACATGACTTTGGGCAAGACGACTTGCCCTACTCAAATTGTCACATTTGATTTTGGTTTCACGCTAAAAACTTGATCACCCCTCCTCCTTGACTTGTGATTCTCAAAGTTGCCAGCATCCTCTAACACTAGATTTACCTTTTAAGACCCTTTAAATGAGTTTTTAGCTGGTTTACTTGCAGTAATAGATTGAAGTGACTTTTATAGTGCTGTTACTGATACAAAAGCAGCTTACAATGGATGTGAAGTAAAGTTCGTGTTATTCTGATGACTCATGCATTTTTTTCTTAAAACGCAATTTTGTTTTGGTCACCTCTGGAAGTTACAGGGTTAAGAATCTAAAAGCTTGACTGTGCCTGGTAGTATTATTATTGATTCTAGACCTTCCACATTTTGCTCTACTGTTTCTTTAGCATGCTGAACAGGCATAATTGTATGGCATTTTCAAGGAAAAAAAAGATCAGTGCAAGGTGAGGAGCAAAAAACATTGTTAGTTGGATAAGGGCTTAATTAGTGGGAACCAGAACCTTATGACCTATGACCTTATAACCAAGGGTTACAGGCTTTTGTCAGAACTGATAAGGAGATCATAAAGAGTGTTGGGTCTGTTTTACACTGGGCAAAGATGGCATGGCTTGGGCTACATAGAGCCTGAGATGTACTTCCAGTAGGGTAGAAGGTGGTGCTGTGCAGCTTTTAATCATATTAGTTATCAAATTACTATGATCATGTGGTTTTCTTCCTAATCACTAATAGTTCTTGACTGGACACATCAAAGGTGGAATCAAAGGCTACATACACAAAATTGGATTTATTTCAAATATTTTTATAGGGCAGCATTGCACTCTTAAAGAGCATGGTAGATTATGGAAGGGAGGAATTGAGGTCTCTGTGTTTCCAGCTCCTCCCCCTTATCTGGGGAAAGTCAGGCAAAAAACAGTTTGACTGCTATCACAATTAAGAATGTGTTATTGTTGCTTCTGTCTTGTGGCTTTGAATCTTGAAAGCTTCTTTCCAGGTTGGGATGTGCCTGACTGTTCATAAAAGAAGAGTAAATATAAATTGATCTGTAAGTGGAAGTCTACAAAATCGACTTGCATATAAAATCATGTTGGCAACCATATGTAGATTAAACTTAACTGACAGTAACAAAAATTGTTGCTGTTATTATTTGATCTCCTTCAGAGATATATTGGACAGTCTGAAGTATTTCACCCATTCTTCCAGACAAAAGAAGAATATTTTCGTACCTGCAAGTGAGAACTCTCTTGTCTGATCATCTGCACAGCAGGCTTTTCAATTATACTCCCTGTAAATGCCTGATCAAGGTACAGGCAAAAAAAGTAAGTTAGAAATTTGGTATCAATGCATACTTAAAAACATGCACTTCAACAAACCAACATATTGGCAAGGAAAATTAAGATTTAGTTCTTTAGTCATCCATCACAAAACCATGGTTCTAGAAACACTGGTGCTTGGTTTTCAGAATCAAGAATATCTGCCTTGAACTCATATCAAAGTTCTCAGCATAAGCATGGAATTGAATCATCATTAAACCAGGCAAGTACACAAAAGATACATCATCACTTACATGTGCTAGCTGTAAAAACTACCCCATAGAGTCCATAGATGATTCTTTCACTTTGTGTAGAATGAGTCAACTGGGAAAAACAATTACATCCTCCACTCCCCTCCCCCAGTTTCACCTCCCTTCCTTCCCCCCACCCCACACACACACGCACACATTCTTCACCAGTACCATTTTGTACTCTTGGGTGGAGAGGGTACCGTGAAAATTGTGTCATGCATAACTGCCCCAGCACAGGTTCACATGTAAATCCAGTCCCTTCACACTGAGGGTTTGAAGGGACTGGATCCATCAATTTGCCCAGCCCTTTTGCAGTGGAAGGAAATTTCATAACAGTAAACCTTTTGAAAATTTAATCATGTACTGATGCAAGATGTACCACAAACTCTGTAGGCTGTATTCCTACCCTTTTCTGAATCAACTGTACAATCTTCCAGTGTATGAGCTCGTTTACCACTGAACAACAAAACATTAAAAGTTTAACCCTTTAATCCCACAGAGTGACAAGGTTATAATTTCTCTTTACAATCTATCCCTTGAATCAAATTAAGGTATCAAATTAAAGGGAATGATTGGCAACTAACAAAGCTCGTGATGGTTTTACAAATTCTCCTTGTTAGAACCTAGGAAATGTATAGAGAACTGTATGGAGAATATGCATTATGATGTTAAGTCTAAAGAGTTAACACCCTCCCAACTGCTCCAATTGATCCAACTAACCTTCTGAGAGTCAAAGTCTGCTATCTGCATGTTATCTTTGACAATATCAGAAGGAAATTGTTGTGTAGTAACAGATGTCTCTTCTTCAAAGCTTTTTTTGTCTTTTTCTTCAGCAGAAGGCCTTCTCAAAATGGATTTTAACTCTTTTTTAGAAGCAAACTGTGAGTAGATGTCTGCTGGGCTTGTAACAGTAAGTTGTTCACAAGAATCCTTTGGAGACTGCAAGATATGAGAAAATAATTTAATCAAAGTCAAAGCACCAACTCCAGTACAGCATAAGGTCAGAACAATTAGATTTTTTACATCTTTTCCTCTCAACACAAATACCAACTCAAGAGGCAACATGAGTGTGTGGTTAGAGCACTACACTGTACTTGTAATCGGAGAGCTACACTGTACATCATTATCATTATCATTGTATATTAACCCTTTCAATTTCATGTGTAACAAAAACCGAATTTCCCCTTAGCTTGCAATTTTGATAAAGTTGCAGGCAGAAGGATGTTGAGCAGTAAGAAACATATCAGGTAGTGCATACCATCAGATTTAACACAATACTCAGAGCTAAAATTGTATGAATGTACAGCTCAATGTAAAGAATTGAAATTTAGATCTCTGGAGTGAAAGTGATAACAGGTATTTAAACATCAACACAGTACAAAAACTTTTTTGTTTTTCTTTTTTTGTTTTTTTAGAGGGCACGGTAACGAATCTTGCAATCTGATTGGTTCTTTACCCGGTCAGTATTTTCCTATCTCTGCCCACGGGCCACAGTAACGCTTTCGCGAGTCACCGAGTACATCCCAACTTTCGTTGTCATTTTTCATAAATATACCTCGTTTTCCGGCTGGGCAGTATTTTTAAGCAAACACGTCGGTTACTACCTCAAGCCGATAAATAACTTAAGAATCCTCTCTTTTCTCTCTATCAAATCACTTTGGTTGACAGAAAAATATTGGTTTCAGAATGAATTTGTATAAACAATAGTGTCATTACGTTGGTTGACAAGCGGCCTAAAAACCTTCTGCAATTAATTTTAATCGTTCACAAAAAGTACCCAGAAAGTTGGAACGCGAGGTATTTGGTTACAGTTAAACTGAACGATGGAACTTTCATTCATTTAATATCTGAATTTTCTCAACCAATTTGTTCATAGTGAAAGAGCAAGCGAAGTTTTAATTTAAGTTCTACAACAAATATACGCTCCTGGTGAGTCTTTCCAATTCCGTTCAATTTGGACATTTGTACCTTAAATTGCACAACAGAAATTGAAGGAATTTTTTGTGAAAAGGCCGCATTACATTCCCTTGTGTCTCGTTGGAGTGTGCCGTTCGAATTTAGTTTTTGTGAAGGAAAGATCAGAGTTAAACACGCCATTACAGCAAACAAACGAGCAAACTCTCACAACTTCAAAATAAAAAGATTGAATTTACTCACAATTAATTTCCTCGCCATTTACTTAATGAACAGAGGTAAATCTTCGTACATGAATGAATCGTCGATGAGAGTGAATAATAGTTTCCGTTAGATCATTAACTGATTTTGAAGAAAACATTGTCGTGACAGTCCTTGCCAAACTAGTTCTGTTGGTTTTCAAATGTTCCTTCGATTTTCTTTTTCTTGCGCGCTCTCTAATTGACAGGTGTCAGATTGTGACAGATACTTGTAAAAATAATGTTTCAAAGTTTGTTTGGAAGCCTTTTAAATCATCTTTATCGTTACGGAAATGAAAATGTTTCGCTGAGGCATCTCTCTTAAATTTGCATCACCTCTATTTAACTACCATTTACCCACTCAAAAATTTTTCAGTTTATGGAAGATCTTGCCGTATTTACGGCCATAAATCATTCGGGTTCTTTCGGAAAGAATTTCGTCAAGTTTAAAAACAATAAATATGTTATTTACCGGCTAAGGGTCGGTCCGTATGGTGAAAAACTGTGACCGAGGTTTTGAAAATACTGCCCGAGGCCGTAGGCCGAGGGCAGCATTTTCAAGACCGAGGTCACAGTTTTTCATCATACGGACCTCCCAGCCGGCAAATAACATATATATACTAACCTGCCCTTGTGAGTGCTCTGATGAAGAGCTAAACTTGACTGAAATTGTGGTCTGTAAATCATCACTATCATGATTCTCATCATCATCCTCACTTGTAGTGGAATCCGTTGAGCTAACCACAGTCTCATCCTTAACATCATGTATCTCCCAAGTAACTTTCTTTTTGGTTTCATTTGTTTTGTCTTTATGATGAAGTCCCCATCTTGCATCTCCTTGTATGTTTGTGTGTTCACCTGTGGTTATGCTTTTTTTATCATCAGAATCATCCTTCCCAACCTGGTCTAGTTCAGCATTCTTAGTTTCCTTTTCTTCCAGTTCATCTAGTCTTGCAAGCAAAGACAAGTCTTCTGAAGACACTTTTTGTACCTTATTTCCTTTCATTGTTATTGTATCCTTTTGATCACTCTTAAGTCCTTGAACTTTCTTCGTACCACCAAATCTTTCAGCCCTAGGGTGTGCCTTTCGTAAATGCTGAGCTACCAATAAATAAAAGAGTGACTTCTAAACAAACAGCAAGAAAGAGTCAACCATGACATTACAAATTCCAATTTTCATCCAGGTTTATTTTCTGACTTTCAGTTCATCAGACCACACCAACATGGGGTACAATTTGTGCCCTCTGGGTTAAATCTTCAGAACCTCATCATAAAGTCATCCACCTCAAGTCTCCTTACTACCTACTGTACAGTTCCTTGTAAATTAGACAGTAAAATTTGGTGTAATGATAACATGGCACTCTCTTAATGGAAATCACTGCTACTCTCCTCACCTGTTTGCAAGGTAACATATTGGAATTGCAAAGAGAAGTTACAAGTTGATCACTTTCTGAGGGTTAAAGAGTGAAGCTTATTTCAAGTTTCACTTAATCAAAGGTGTAACTGAGAAGGTATCATGGGGTGCATTTGAAATAGACTCCTCTCTCATAATCCCAATTTGTGAACCAGTGGAATTCAAATATTCAAGCCCCATCAAATAAGCAAAACTTATTTTTATCAACAGCTCTCAAATTAACCCTTTAACTCCCAGAATTGATTTTAAAAGATGAAATT